CATCTAGTTCTCTGCTGTTCAGTGACAGTCACCAGCTGCATCTGATGCTGAGATGGAATTAAAATCAGGTCCCTCAGCTGCACCACATTTCAGATACTATCAGCCATGTGGGCCTAGTGATTTCCATATTGAATGACACGGTAGACTGTTCCCATTGTCATGGAGTTCCATGGGACTCTTGCTGATCCAGGGACCTGAACACAGCTGTGGTGCCTGCACTGGGGATGCTCACAGTGGAAGTGGACCAATGATGCCTCCATCGCTGTACCCTGTTGTGATGCATGCCACTTTTCCTTGGGAAGCAGACCTAGTGCCAGGCCCAGCTGTCCTGACGGCTGGTTTGCTACTGTCTTACCATGTGACACAGTGATCTGCTTTCCTCATCTTCCTCATTGGCAAAACAATGCTATGTCCTTCCAGAATCAATGAGTAAACGACCACAAGTGCCCTGAAATGTGGGGGACCAGGACAGACAGAGGGACAGCATGATGGGGGAGAACAGCCTGAGTCCGGAGTCAGGGAAGCCGGACTCCAGCTAGGTGAGGAAGCTTGGGAATGAGGCTGAGGCCTTACTCTGCATCTCTTCACTGCAGAGGGGAGGTGGAGGGATTCTGAACATCCATATTGTAAGGATCAAAACACGTGAACCGATGTGACACAGCAGAGTGCTACTGGGAAGAGAAGCACGGCGAAACACCAGTCCCGCTCACCCACAACTGAGGATGCCCTCTTGGGTGCGGTCTCTGCCATCCTCTCTTCCCGAGCTCTACCTACTACAGAGCCTTGAGTCTTCCGGTTGGGACGCAAACAGGGACAATATATGGGTGAGATAACCTGTTTAGCCCATGTAAGAGGTGGGGGCTGAAGGCGCACTGGCCCAAGGCGCCTGCCCAGTGGCCTCTGCTATCCCTGTATACACACTTAGGAAGTTTCCAGAGTGCCAGTCATGCACCTGGCACCAAGGAGAAAGGAGAGACAGACAGCTGGGACCAGGCCTTGCCCTCTGACACTGTTTTTCACCATCTCCTCCACAGTCCCACCTTACCTGAACGTCAGCAGCACCCTGTGGTGTCTTTGTACCGATTCATTATGTGACCCTTTACTATGGTCTCTGAGCACTGGCAGCACACCAGTGACTACACCAGAGCATTTTATATGTGACTGTCTGTCTTGTCACTCTAAGAGTGTTCATTACCCCATCTTACAGATAAGACAACCAGAACAGGACAGCACATCCAAAGTGACACCCAACAAAGGACAGGTCGGGGATTGGAGCCCGTATCTGAGTAACTCCAAAGCTGGGCTCTGCCCTGACGCTTTCTAATGTCATCTTCAGACCGGACACTCTGCTAGGATGGATGTTGCCATGGGAAACCTTTAACTTTAGGAGCCCAGGGTGAGATGAGATGTCAGAGAAACGACCCCCTAAGGTGCTGGATCAAGGAAGCTTCCTAGTGTGCAACACACTGTGCTGAGCTCAGACACCCACATGGAGTCCCAGGATTCGTGATGGTGCTGCGTTTCAGGGGAGCCTTGACTGAGCTGCAGGTGTCAACTGAATAGTGGTGAAACTACAAGGGGCTCGGGGATCAAAACCAGGAACAGGTCACTGGCCAATGGGCCCACAGCAAGACGCCACTCCTGTCAGCTAAATACAGTGCTGTAAGACACGTAGGGAAAGGAGAGCCAGCTTGCAGGGCATGCTGACAGCACACGGGCTGTGATGGGGAATGAAGTCAGGAACTGCCACTTACTGGACTGGGCAGTAAGCAGGAAACAGCAAAGTCACGAACCACCTCCAGGTCAGACAGTCGGATTCAAGTCCCAGCTGCACTCTCTGCTACTGTGAATTTTCTGGGGGCATTAGCATCTAACTACAGTATGTACTGGGATTTTATGGAGTAAGAATCTTAAAAGGCCCAATGTCTACTGTGTGGCAATCACTTAACACCAATTACTCATGATGATGATATTTTTGTGTGTGGGTACACATGTATGTCTGTTCATGTGAAGGCCAGAGGTCAAGGTTGGTGTCTTCCATAATCACATCTCCGCCTTTTATTTTTAAGGCAGGTCACTCACTGAACCTGGCACCTAGGCAGAGAAGTCATGCATCTTTTCAGCATCACCCCAAATGTCCAGTGCATGTGCGTGGGATCAGTCACCTCCAGGATCCCTGGTCTAATAGATCCATGCAGCAGACACCTGGTGAGCCAAACTATCTAGATGCTTGCATGGGTGCACTTGAGCAAGGGCAGTGCCAACTTCACCACTGAAGGGAGTCACAACTGTTGAGGGAGGCCTGGAGTCAGCCTGTGACAATCTAATCATCTCACGGACCCAAGCTCACCTGCATGCCGCTTTTACAGCTTTGTCCCTGCATGCCGCAGGAACATGTACAGTCACCTTGTTCCTCAGCTGCAGCCCCTGGGCTCTGAGGCTGCTCCAGTGCTGGCCTGGAGAGTTGGCTTCTGTCCTGACCGTGCCTGCATCAGACACTTCCATCTTGCACAGGGTGAAAAGCTGCTGGGCCCCATGCCAGTCCCCAGGGCCCCTCTCCATGCCGCTCATTTTTATCAGGCCCTCCTGATGGCAGGACTGACCTTGTCTGGATGTGTTTGATCAGCTGTCCCTGGCCTGCACTCGGGGAACCCCGTGCAAGGAGAACGGCAGGCATGCTGTTTGATCAGAGCAGCTGGGGAGCTCAGGCTAGCTTGCTCAGCCTTCTGGTAATCCCATCTCAGAGGACAAAGAAAGGAGCTTTCCCACAGACTCTCCCTCGGGTGTCTGGGGGAGCATCCTTGCCAGAGACGTGAAGCAGTGTAGGGAAAAGACAGCGAGCAGAGTACTGGGTCCCCTCTGTTCCTAAGCTGGCACTCCCCACTTTTCCAGAGAAACACTTTTTCCAGGTGTGGTCCCTTCCTCAAAGCTCAGAATCCAGAGGGATGGAGCTGCAGAACTGCGGCAAAAGCTAACTTCTGCTGCCAGGGGTTTCCATTGTGCAGCAGCTGGAGAAGAAACCTGGACAAGCCCCACCTCCGTGGGACTCCAGCAGCACTCGCCCCAGGCCAGTGCCGCTCTCTGCCCTGCCAAGCTGCAGATGGGCTGTGAGCAGGAAGGAATGGATGGGATTATAGTGCATGCCACCCGTGGGAAACAGCTCCCGCAGGACATGGGACACAAGCCCTACTCCTGCTCAACACAGTGTGCTGAGTCTCCTCTCCAGCAGCAAGCAACACCTAAGCACACAGTGAATACACTGTCCATGACCAGCTCTGCAGAGACAGGCACTGACGTGGGGCCTATGCTATGATAGCACTCAGTGAGGGAGCAAAAAGATGCAGAAAAAAGGGAGGCATCAGATGCCTCTTCTCGGAGAAACCTTGCGTTCTAGGCTCACCCAAGCCATAGTGGTGATGGTGATGATATCCCCCGGTGCTTCATCCCTCCCATTTTTCTCTCATTACGCAGCTGGCTGGCCTCAAACTCAGAGTGCTGGAGTTAAACACTCACCCAGATTTTTTTTTAAGGGAAGGTCTTGCCAAGTTAGCTGACCTCTAACTTGCTCTGTGGTCCAGATAGACTTCAAATTTACAATCTACTTGTTCTTCTTTAGGAAGGCTGGGATTATAAGGCTTGTGTCGTGGCTTTTCTTTTTTTCACCCAATGGCATCCATGATCACAGGCTCACAGACAGTGAGACAATCAACAGTAGACTGAAGATGCGCGCAGGAGAGCAGCTTAGCCTCGCTCACCACACTTGGTCTGGTGCTTTTACTCTGCTGTCCCTTCGGCTGTGCTGCAGAGGACTCCAGGAGCCCATTTGTCCTCGGGAGGCTCTGGGCTTCCTGCAGTGCAGCCTAGAGGCCCTGTTCTCGGCCTCCCTTGGATCACACACAGGGCTCTGCTCCTCGCCAGTCCTTGGCCCTCGCTCATTCCCCTTGAGCCTATCACAAACGGCAGCAACCGTTTAGGAGCCTCAGCACTCAGGTACTTTAAAATGTTAATAACTGTTCACAGTCACTCTCTTAGGAAAGGCTTGCCCAAGGTCATCTTCTTGGGGGGCGGGCTCCTACTTCCATCCCTTCCCTCTATGCTGTGCTGCCCCTCATCCAGGCAGAAGACTGTTGGTTCACCAGGGATCCCTCAGTTCATTTCCTACATCCCAGGCCAGCCCAGTCTATATTCCCCTTCCTCCAGGGCCCAAGGACATGCTTCAATTAAATCTCACAGCAGTGCAGACACTCATGACTACTGGCCCAGATGAGACATGGATAGCTCTAGTATCTCTGCGAAAACCTCACGTGGACAGAAGGGTGTCTGCAGGTTCTGCACACCTCCACCTTTGTACCCCAAGACTGTTCCAAAAGTGAGTACGGAGCCTCCCTGAGTCCTGCCTTCCCAGCCTTGGGGCCAAGCTTAGTCTGAAGACACAGCAGGCCGCCCAGCAACTCTGGTCCTTCTAGCAACACTCTTGTCCCTTGTCAGCTGACAGCAATGTGGCATCTTCAGCTCTGCTTATTTTAGTTACCTGTTGCATACTTGGTGCTTTAGGGGCTACAGAGATTTAATACATAAATGAAAAGTGGTAGATGCTGTAAGGGGTCTCAAGGGATTCAGGGAGGAGGAGACAAAGAGGGAAAACAAAGATTCACCCTGTATCAAGAACATAGGCTGGCCTGTGTGTAAGCCTTCCACACTAAACTCAGTAAATCCAGACTTTAACTTGTCCCCTAACCAAAGTAGCCACCATCCCCGTTCTCACTGCTGGAAGCCCAGGAAGGAGCTGAGCAGCTGTCCCCCTGACCCCAGGCTCTGAAATATGGCCCATGCCATATTTGGAAAGAGGACGTAGAATGAAACTGCATGATCAGAGTTACCCAGGCCACAAACATGGCCTGAAGGTGCACAGTGGTCCTAGGACACCGAGTCCTTTGCCCAGAACCAAAAAGAAAAAGCGTTCACAACACCAGTCTCCTGAATACATGTACCACAATTGCTTCACGCTACATACTTTATTTCTAGCAACAGTGCAGGTTGAGCGGAGTTCTAGTTTGCAATCCAGTTTATACAACATCTTATGGGGCTGGCTGTCCTGCTCATGGGTAGAAACAAGCATTACTGGCCTTGCTCAGGGCAACCATGACCATTTTTATAATTTGGAGGCCATATAAATTAGTCCAAGGAATAATTTCCTCAACAGCATGGTCCCCAGAGAATACACCACTCTCCTCTTCTTTATAGGCCCAGTTAGACTGGAATAAGTTTGAGTTTCTTTCTGAGTTTTTAGTATACGTTCTCAGTGCCCCAAAGTTTCCATAGCAACAAAACTATTAACCTGCCTCTCACTCCCTTGGCCCCACATCTTTCACTTTCCTTCCAGACTCCCAAGTATCTTCTGTGACATTCAGGGCCCTGCAGAACAAGGCGAGGCTGGGAGAGCTGACTGGAGCGAACCATTGCCACCACTGGCCAACTTTCTAGTTCCAAAGGAAACTCCTGTCCCCTAGAAGCACTTGCTTGCTCTAAGCGAGACTGTCAGTGTCTCCAGCTTTTGTCAGTACAGGTTCTCAGGCACATGAAATTTAAAGGCACACTCTCCCATCCCTAAGAGAGCAGAGATCTTTTTTCCTTATTTGGCATGTCTGTCCCTCAGCTTTGACCACTGGAGCTCGGGCCCTAGGGAAGAGGCTGAGGAATCCCCGCTGCGATCAGCGTGGGACAGAGGCTTCCATGGAATGACACAGCACGCAGGCCTAGAGCTTAAGCCACATACTTGGGTATTGACTGAACTCAAAGCTTTTCCAACATGGAGTTTCAGAGACACAAGACCCATGCCTTATAAAACATTCGAGAAAGATCTTCATCTGTTACACTGGCCCAGATGCTCACAGTGGTCTCTGCTCTTCAGCTTCCTGCTTGCTGTCCATACATGGATGATGGGCTGGATCAGGAGCCCTGAGGAGGACTGGGGCCCCATTGTGTAAATACACAAATTCCCAGAACCTGGAGACTCCTGACTGCTGCCCAAGGGCCAGGAGTCAGTATTCATGGGGATGAAGTAAATGGAACCACACTTCCATTGTAAAAGCAACGTGGACTGAAGAGGCCCCTTAACAATGCCCTCTGCGGTAGTTCAGGCCTCTGGGGCAGCAGCGACAGACTTGCCCCAGGTTTCTTTGGAGTCTCTGTAAAGTCAGGTAGCTGATGCAGAGGCCACCAGTCACCAGCACAGAACTCACTCTCCATGCTCCTGTGAGATCTGGCACTGCAGGGCTCCCAGCAGTGTGCGTGCCAGAGCTGTGCATTCAAGGGTGGGTGGCAAGCCTACCAACCCTACCCTACGGCTCTCTGCAGCAGACTACATCTGGTGACTGAAGGGAGTGTGTGCCTGAGCACCATCCGGGTCCCCAGGAAGCCCAAGGCTGGGTTTCTCAGTCTGGGAAGGGTCTGACTCTTGGGTCTCTAACTTCCAGCTCTTCGTATTCAGGCTGACTTTCCCTCACAGGCCCTCAGCGATGCATTTTTTTGCCTTTTGTCAGGAAGAGACTTTTTTTGATAACACTCATAATGGTTCCAAACTCCACCCTGTGGCTTGTGAGGTGCTATTCCTGACAGCCTGGAAGCATGTGCCATTCCACGGCTTTTCAGTGGGTTACTTGATGTGGAGGGACCAAGGGACAACACATCACTTACAGATCAAGGGCTCCTCTGGTTGGCAGTCACAGGTCTGAAAGCCAGCAGGCCGCAGTGTGAGAGTGCTGAGCTTCCAGGGAGGAGAAGCCTTGATGTTTGAGCACCATCTTCTGGTCAGTGTTTGCTTTCTGAGGCTGACTGGCTTTGAAAAACATTTACTTTTAGAAAGAGAAACATTCCCTAGCTGATAAATTCAAGCAGCCTGTATATACAATGAAGAAGGTGGGCTTGACTGGGATAGGCTGGCCAGAGCTAGAATCCAGCATGGACACTCACCTGGGCTGCCTGTGCCCAGCTGAGGCCACAGAGCAGCCCTTGAACACTGCTGTGTGGTTAAACTGCTACCTCCTGTCCTCCAGCGGGCCAGCTGCAGGGATGGTGGTAAACCACCTCACCATGACCAGACTTGACCCTCATCTCTGCACATAGTCATGTGAGCTGCACTTGGCAAGAAGGGGCGGGCTTATCTCTGACAGCAGGTGGCTTAAAGGTAAGTGACCAAATCAGGACATTTTCTCCTCTGTAGGAAGTCAAGTCACACTAGGTGGCAGGGAGCCCTGCCTGATGGGCAAAAACTGTGCTAGCCCTCTTGTATCTTTGGGCTTCTAGGAAAGGAAGATAAATGCGAGCCCTTCTCTCTGAGCAGCAGGAACCCACATCCATCTAATTGCACTTCCAACCGAATTCTACAAGCCATCAATTACCAGACTGTATTTCAGGAACTAAAGATAAAAGCCTCGGTGACACTCAGACTTGTATGGAGCACCGATCTGCAGTAAGCCTGCAGCCAGGGGAGCCCAGAGAGCAGGCCCTGCACCAGGCAGGTGGGCCAGCGACAGGAGAAGCAGAGGCCACCTGGGATGCTTCTCATCCATCACATTCAGGCACAGGCCTGCCCCCAGGAGCTGTTCATTAGGCTATCACATGCTCCGGAGCAAGCTGGCAAGAGGTCTCCAGGCTGAGATGTTGTTTCAGCCTCGATTACTGGAAGGTGTGGAAGGCCTGAGGATCACAGGGAAGCTCTCCTTAAGGAATGCAGTGAAGAATATCCAGGAAGACAGACGCAGCTGGACAGCCTCACACGACGCTGCCTCCCAGCAGCAATGCTCCAAAGCTTTGTTTTGGGAAGGGCAGAGCAGGAGGGCTTCCTGTACTGTTAACATTGCCACCTGCTGTAGAGCTGAACTGAGGGGCACCTGAGCAGAGGGGAGGATGGGGAAGGGCAGGCTGCCAAACTGGGGTACCAGGAGACTGTGTTGGTGCTTTATGGCAGAGGCACTGGCGGTGTCTGCAGGCCGTCTGTGGGCTCAGGTAACTCCCCTGCTCCTGAGGGTACCCAGCATGCTGTGTCCCCTCAGCCACCTTGGCCACCAGCTCCCATCCACTACTCCTTCAGACTCTGATTTCAGAAGCCAGACTTCCCTTGGGAGTCGGTGAAATCTAGGCCTGAGCTGCAGCCTGGAGGACTGAGACTGTCTGCCACACAGGTGGCAGTGTTGGCGTCAGAGCGGACAGCTCAGACACTGGATCCTAAGAAAATGACAATGATTTCCAAATGAGAGAGAGCACCAGGGTGGAGCTGAGCTGAGTGGCTCACCAGAGCAGAGGCTGGCTGCTGTGAGCTTCCTCTTGGGTATGGTACAGTCCCCTCTACTAGAAGAGCGGCCATTCACTTGGCCTCACCACAGATCAGGGTGACAGTACCATCCAGCAAATCCTCCACCGTCACTGCCACAAGCTCAGAGCTGTTCTGAGAGGTCTGTGACTCTGGCAAGGTCACAAACACCTGTGAGCCAGCAAGCTGAGTCTCCTCTAACGTGATCACCTGCTCGGCTGGGGCTGCTGGCTCTGGAGCTTGGATCACCTGAAAGGAAAGACAGGAAGGCTGCTCCGGGCAGTGTCCACAGTGAGCTCCCCAGAATTTACATGGCTCCCATCTCACGCGGTAATGATGATATTTATGTTTTCACCTGAGGAGAGCAATTACTTACACCTAATGGGAACAGGGAAGTTTCATACACCAGCGATGCAAAAGAGAGGCAGGCAGACAATTTAAATAACTCTGTGCACTAAATTGCTATAATTTTGCTCAGTACGCCACCTCGGGGTGCATGGACTCTGTGATTACACCCCAGTGAACACTGGCTCAGCAGCCTGCACTGGCTTCTCCTGTCTCAGGGATGGCATTGCAGAGTAAGTGCCATGCAAGAGCTCCAAGGAAACAGGAGTGCTCTACCCAGAGCTTGGGCCTCTTGGAAGCTAAAAGCCTTCTTGGTAAAAACATGGTTCAACTGTGGCTTCTCCCACTCACTTGAGTCACTTGGCTCAGTGGCTGGCGGGGCAGGTACAGGCTCCTGTCCCCTCCACAGGCCACAGCTGTCCCTGCAAACCTGGACACTCTGTTAACAATGGCTTTCCCAGCTCTTCTGTGTTTCCTGCTGCACCTCCAAGCTGACAGTTCTGAGCTTGATGCCTTGACCTTTCTAAGGCAGTGTGTCCCCAAGGGCATAGCCACCTGACTCCAGACAACCAGCCAGGGTTGGAGAGTGGGCACTGGGGAGGAAGGTAGGCTCAGCCCTGTGGCAGGGTTGTGGGAATGAGTAACTGTGGTGGCCAGTCACCAGGTATCTGGCATTGTACTTCTGTAAACTACACTGTAATCTGCCTTTCTTCCTTTAGGATTGGAGTCCTCTCCCATCTGTAAGATACTTTGTCTAGAAGCCTTGTTTCTAGGCAAGAGAGAAGAAGACTACCTCAAGGTGGGATGACAATGGGAGCCTCAGCTGGAATCCTGCCCACCTGACCTTTCCTGGTCCCCAGAGGCTGCAAAACAAGACTAGTTTACACCTGGACGGTGTGACAGCTGGACAGAGACACCTCCGTCAGTATACAACCCTACCCCAACTTCTCTAGGAACCACTGACAGCTGCCAGCACCAATTTCTTTTCCTTTCGGCTGCCTCTGGAGAAGATGGGAGAGCAGAAAGCAGCAGGGAGACAGGCTGGCTCAAGCTTGGCCTTCCCACATCAAGAGGCAGATTTTTCACCATGTGAGTGAAGTCACAGGCTTACATAAATGTGTACTGTATCCAGCCGGGGGTCTACCCATGGGCCTTGCCCAGCAGGGTACAGTCAGCCTTCTCTGGGGTTTCCTGACAACCCTCCAGATCCCACAGTGCTTGTCAGAAGGTGGAGAAAGTGCGAGCTGGAAGGCGAAACGGCTGTTCCGGCTTGGAAAATTCCTGTTCCAGGCTCCCTCCACCTAGAGGCTACCAACAGACTAGAATTTCCTGCTGACAGGCAGTTCGGAGATGCTAAGATCAGGAGGGCAGTATGCTAAGGGCATGGGAGAATCCCACAGAGTGGGACTGGATTCTGAGAGCCAGTACCCTAGAACATTCTGTGTTCACATCCAGTGGCCCCAGACTCACCTGCACCATCTGAGGGGCAGCTGCCTGGGTCTCAGCGCCTGTTACCTTTGGGTGCTCAGACTCCAAGTGGCCATCAAGCTGGGCCTGGGAGGTGAAGAGCTCACCACAGAGCTCACAGGGGAAGGTGCTCTCCGACTGCTTGAAGTGCTCTGTGGTGACGTGGTGCTGCAGGGCTCCAGGAAAGCGGAAGGTGGCCGCACAGTACAAGCACCGGAATGGCTGCGACCCTGAAGGAGGAGGCAGAAGACATTATGTGACTGCAAGGGAATGACGGCTCAGGGCAGGGGAGGCAGAGGGAGACACAGCGAGGACGGGAGGCTGGGGTAGAAGAGGCAGGACTCTTGGGACCTGAAGTTCATAGGCCTTCCTTATGAAACTGCAGATACAGAGCAGGCTAGGGTCCTTAGGCCACAGTGTCATTTGCAGTAGATTGTGGCTGAGTCATCTCTATCGATGCCCACTATTCACTCAGTAGCAGACAGTCTGACAATCGGACTACATTTCCTCAACCCCAGAAGCACCTTTTTCTATGCTGGGAATTGAACTTGTGGCCTTCAGATGCTAGGCAAGAAGCCTACGACTGAGCTATACTATCAGCCTCAGGAAGTGCATCTCGAGACTTGTGAATGGGATGGGTGCACCTGACTGCTGCAGGCACCAGTGACACCCATGGCTTTCACACAGGGCTGCTTACCGGGGCCAGGCCTGAAGTTTTCATGGCTTCATAAGAGATTGGTACTGATGTACCATCTTCCAGATGAAATGGAGGCACAAGTCAGTGAATAAAAGGCGTTTTTTTGTTTTTGTTTTTGTTTTTTTTTTGAAGGGGGTTTTGAGACAGGGTTTCTCTGTGGTTTTGGAGGCTGTCCTGGAATTAGCTTTTGTGGACCAAGCTGGTCTGGAACTCAGATATCCACCTGCCTCTGCCTCCTGAGTGCTGGGATTAAAGGTGTGCGCCACCACTGTCCGGCATAAGTCAGTAAGTAAAAAGACTATATAGATCTGTGAATGGTGGAACCAAGACTCACCCCCCCACCCCAACCCCCTGCCGTTAAGCTCAGGGACATGCAGAAGGGTCACTGACCTGAATGCTGGCATTTGATGTGAACCTGCAGCAGAGCTGGTGTGGGGAAGAGCTCCTTACACTGGTCACACTCGTGGAACTTTAGATCTGTGCGTGTGAAAGGAAAGAAGTAGTGGAAAGGACAAAGGATGGCTTGTCTACAGGTGGAGAGGGCAGGGCTGGGTGGGGCGAGGACCCACATTCCAGATCACACCTGCCAACTGTTAGAAACCTGTGCCTGTAGAGATCTGTGGAACCTACCGGGAGAGAGCACTGATCTGCTCCAGACTGTGTGGATGCAAAGGCGGTTGTGAGAATTAAGTGACAGAATATACAGAGTGCTCGGCTGGTGCCCTGCACACAGGAAATGCTCTGTAACTGACAGCTGCTGTGATTATCCCCAAATGTACCTGCAAGGGAGGTATTAATAACTTCCATTCTGAAGAGACGAAAGTAGACTCAGAAAAGAGATGTCACCTGCCAAGGTCATGCAGCTGCTAAGTGCTAGAGCCAAGAATCCCACCTGGACCCATCTGCCATGAAAGCCAACACCCTTTCCAGGAACTGGCTGGGTCTCCTGAGGGCTGGTTGGAGCTTAGACTGTCCTGTGCTAAGCGGCTGGAGAAATGCTGTCACTTAAACTACAGCTCCTGGTGGACAGGTGTGGCCTCCTCTGGTGAGCTAGGGCACATCGGAGGCAATCATCACAGTGCCTGGACAGAAGACACGAGTCCCTCTACCCTCAGCTGCACCAGTGTCACCTGCATGCGCTGTTTTGATGTGCTTCTTGTGTTCGATGGTGTTGGAAAAGGTCTTGTCACAGGAACTGCACTGCAGTGATGAGAACTTGGGTGACCGATGGTTCTGGGCAGCAAACACATCTGGGTGGTGGATCCGATTGTGGTACCACAGACCTGACAATTGCTGCAAGGCATTTGGCAAATATTAGGTCCTAGAAAGTTCTAGCAATGACAAAAGATCTGAGACAAGCTCATGGATCTAGAACCATGCCCCTGGAGGCTGATGTTAGGGGAGAGGCCACTACAGGCACAGCTCAGTGGACCCTTCAGTGAGCCCTCACTCACTCACTCACTCACTCACTCACTCACTCACTCACTCACTCACTCACTCACACAAGCTTAAGTGGGGATGTAAGGGTCTTCCTGTGGAGGTAGACTGCCACACAGAGGGGTTAGGGACTTGCCCAGGGCCACATCAGTAAACAGCCAGATTAGGACCAAAGCCTGGCCTGACTGGAGCATGTATGTGTTTAGCACACTATGCTGGACCTCAGTGCTGCTGAGGCCTGGGGTGTGGAGACTGCCCTGCTGGAGCAGAGACAGAACTGCATCCCATCCCTCTCTGGCCCCAGCATTAAAATACATAGAGGGCATCTCTCTGTAAGTCCTCAGGCTCCTAGGGATCATGCCCAGTCTTACTCCACATCACAGCGTGAGGCCTGGCACAGCACCAGTTTTCCTTATCTAAATCAGTGATTGCTCTGCCTGAACCTCAGCCATAAGCGAGGACTGTTCTCTATGACCAGTTTCTGACAGGTGTGGTTTATTTCTGTACCTCTGTGTCATTTCACTTTAACTACACACTGATCTCCAAAGTAAAACTCAGCCCTTCCTTGAAAGGCAAACAGCAAGTAGCTGTTTAAATTCAACAAAGTACCATACAAGATCCAGACACCGTGTGTGTTTCCCATCTTTATGTGGCCTTTTCCTTTTATATTATTTTACTTTCTCTTTATTATTTTAAACTATTTTTCTATGACTGTTTATACCCATTTTCTTTAGCATCTAAGCACATTTTTATGCATCTATATCTGTTCAGAGGTTTTCTTGGTCTGAACCTGACTTTATTAAGTGCCTGCAGCCACACACATGCAGTGTTCTCTGATGTGTGAACCAAACCATAAACTGCTAAGCAACAGCTAGACCCTATGGGCTGGCAGCTAGCTCTACCCACTTAGGTCAGTGAGAGTGGAGCCTCATGTCTATGGCCCTAGCCTGAGGTCAGTGATTATCCCAATTTTCTCAGGGTCCCCTAAAGATGCTGTCACCCCCAGAAAACAGGAAGCAGTCTAGAGAACATGATGCTCACATTCCCAAGAGGTGGGGTGGGTAGCTTTGGGTCATTCTGTGGGTTATGGATGTTCATCATTGCTTAGGGGGAGTGGGTTACAAGTTCTTATTGGTCATGGTCAGGAAAAAAAACTGGACAAAGATTAGATTCAGGGATCTCCTGATGGGGAAAAAGGGATGTATAGTATAAGAATGATGGGATAAAAGGGTTAATATTTGAGTCTACATTTGAATAACCACTAGTCTCAAATATTTTACATTAGTATGAATTTTTGTATATTGATACAAATTTAAGGTTATTTTTGTTATACTGTGTATGCTTCTACTCTTGTTTAAGGTATTGTATCTATGCAGCTCATTTAAAAATAAAGTTTTAGTCCTTGAAAGTTACTTAGGATAATAAAGAAAGACAGGTTAATAGCTAGTTATCTATAACAACCAAACTTATAGTCATGTTAGGAAATTTGCAAGGTCATACAAAAATATATTTTAGATAGACAGGTGGTCTTCAAACACTTCAAAGACCTACAGAATATGGCATTTAAAATGTTTTAATAACATAAGGCTTTTCATGACAGTGAGGCACATCTGTTCCTAGTAGCACCAATTTACTTCATGTAAAGAGAAGCCTTGCCGCCAGCCTGGTTTCAGAGTCGCATCAGTCCCAAATAAACACACAGGACACTGTATTAATTATGAAGCTGTTGGCCTTGCTTGTTCCTTACTGGCTAGCTCTGACTTAAGTATTTATCCCATAATTGTTAATCTAAGTATTTCTCTTACCGGAGAAGTTTCCAGGCTTCTTATCCCTATGGTGGTTGCATCTTGACTCCCTGTGTTTCTCCTACCCAGAGTCCTCCATGACTCCTAGTCCCACCTATCTTGCTTCCCTATTGGCCAACAGTGCTTTATTTACATATACACAGGACTTCCCCCATCAACTTCAAAAAAGGATGATGGGCATCAAGGAATCTCCATATAGAGTTAGCTTTCTATGTGGCAAAGTTAGCCACTGGGTAAAGAAACTACCCTTGCCTCGACTGCTGACAAAATGCTGTCCAAATTGAACAAATAGGATACAAAAGAAAGTGACTCCTGAACTTTGCCAAGACAGACAGTCCTTCAAAATTCCTGCTTCATAGAAAAGTCTGTCAGATATGCTACGCCTATAGGCTGAAGATGGATGCCCCAACATTGCAGAGGAACCTTGGGTGACTGACCAGGCAGCCAACTGTCTCTGTCATTTCTATAATTTTGGAAGTTGTTTGCTTTAAACGTCCTGTTTACTCAGGTAATATATCCTTATTGGGTCTCTAATGGAGTTGAAGACAAGATAATTATAGTTACAGTTTTCCTTCTTATCAAATAAAAAAAAACATACACAAGAGATGTGAAGTTTATAAGGTTGAGAAACATAAAAGCTTAAATTGTTTATCTAAGAAAATGTTTTGAGGTCAAAAAGGATAGTTTTAAGGATGGCAATACAAATTATGATAAAAAAGTAGTTTAGGTATAAAACTTTAAATTCATCAAGACAAGACAGATAATAGAATATTTTCTTCAAATATGCTAAATACAAATGGACTGGACATTGTGAGTATAATTCTTACACATATTGTATTCTTATTGTATATGTTTTATTGTATATAATTCTTATTATACATAGTTTTATTATGTTAGAGTTAAAACCTTCCCTTTTGTTTAGACAAAAGAGGGGAAATGTTGTAGGGTACTTGTACATGGTGTGAAGATATATTGTTGTGATTGGTTTAATAAAGAGCTGAATGGCCAATACAGGGGGTATAGGCAGGACTTCTGGGCAGAGAGAGGAAGTAGGAGATAATTGAGGCATGCAGAGACACCAAGGGAACAAATCAGACATACAAGACATAGGAAAGGTAATTGAGCCACGTGATAGAATATAGATTATTAGAAAGAGGTTAATAAAGTTATAAGAACTAGTTAGAAAAAAAGTCTAAGCTAAGGCCTAGCTTTCATTATTAATAATAAATCTCCATGTCTTTATTTGTGAGCTGGCAGCTCAAAGAAAAGCCTGACTACAGTCTTCTGGGAATATAACCCAGGGCCTCATGGGTGCTAAGTGTATGCTCACTGAGTATACCCCCAGTCCATGCTTCTCAAAGTCAAATTGTCTGTCACATCTTGGAGACAAGCTTACATGCAGGAAACAAACACCAATGGGGAGAAAGGCAAGGATGGGGGTGTGCACCTGATAAGCTTTGTTGCAGATCCCACAGCTAAAGGGCTTCCCTCCAACATGGGTCACCATGTGCCGCTCCAGCATGGAAGGGGCGCTGAAGATCTTCCCACATGTGGGACAGGGATGGTATTCCTTGGAGTGCACCTTGTGGATATGCTTCCGGTGGTCCTGCAGTGTGGGGAAGCTCATCTTGCATTTCTTGCAGTCATAAGGATCTTCTATGTCTGTTTCCAGGGAGGGCATCCGTGAGAGGGAGGGGCAGAGAGAGACAATAGCACAAGAAGCAGTCAGTGACATGCTACTGCTTCATACAGCAAGATGGAAGGATGTTCAGACTTCCTGTGGGGCCAGAGTGCAAGGACCCTAAGTCAATGTGACAACAATCTGGCTCTACTCTTTCCCCAAGGAGGCAAGGACCCTTCAACCATCTATCTGTGCAGCATCAAACTGCTCACCTCCACCACCTGTTTCCTGTCTTACATGTCAGACTCCCCCCAACATGGGTCTACTTACAGGGAGTATTATGCTTGCTCCTCCTGACGGCAGTGACAGGTCTGTCTTCCACTTCCCTGTAGACCTTACCAATATACCCACTAGAGTGTTGCCGTGTCTCCTGCCAGGGGCAGTAAGTGGACATTTTTTGGTCCCCACTTGAGACCCAACAGTAAAGCCTTTGCACAGACTCCTGGTGAGCACTGGGCGGGTGTGTTCAGAAGGGGGGGGGGTCTAGTGTGAGTCTTATTTTAAGATTAGGAAAATTAAGGTTTAGAGATCAACCAGTACCTTGCTTAAGGATCTAATTGGGAAGAGGTTTCATCTACACCTCCATGGACATGCCAACTCCTCATTGGGACCTCAAAAATAGGAACTACTGCTGATGGACACCTTTGCCATCCAGATGACAGAAAACATCATTCTTTTGGTAATGAAATCCTCTGGCCAAAAGAAAGGTCCAAGCCATAGCTCTACCTGTGTCTATAGTGACTCTGCTTAACTCAGGAATCCTGACCACAGCAGTCTTCAGAACCTCTGGCTAGCTTCACCATGGAAATGCCAGGTTCACACTGTCTTTTAAGACACTTTGGCAGTTTCTATGAGCAACACCGTGGTCAGGCAAAAGTGGGCCTGAACATTGGGTTTGTATGAATGGTGACCTCTAGGGTGTGCCAGTGGGCTCCAGGGTATGAAAGATTAAGCCTGAAGATAAGCGTTCCTCTTTCCTGACTCTCCTACCTATACTCTCTCCTTCCTACACAATTTGCTTCTGCCAGCCCAACACTGTGAGGGGAGCTAAAGAGACAAGGGGACAGGCTGGACAGAGATACGCTAAGGAGATATGCTATGAAAAAGAGACCAAAGCACAGCATCATTTCTCAAGGTCAGGAAGACATGAGAACTGTGGCACTGGGTCTGAACCAAACCCCACTCGTCTGAGACTAGAGTTCTGGACAGTCTTGCTAGTGCCTGAGGGGTACATGACTAAGGAGTCCTCACTGTCGGTGCCCCTAGGATGGCTGCACTCCATCTTAGCTCAAGGGCAGAGAGTTCAAAACTGTCCTCAGCACGTCCAGACCTGATCTGAGGTGTGGTTACTCCTGACCCTCCAGGCCAGGTATCGAGAAGTTGAACCTAAGGTGTGGTTCCCGAACCCTTAGAGAAAAGAGGAAGAGAAGTTTGTTTGCCCCATACACGTGTTACCATGTTACTTTCTGGTCAAGGTATGTAAGAGCGGTGAAAACTAAACTTGTGGCATTCAGTATTGAGAGCATCTGCCCTCCTGACTGTATTCTGTCTCTGTCTTGCCCTCACCATCTACAGCTAGACTTCTTTAGCTCACACTCCCCCTCTCAGGTACGAACCTGGGGCTGCGCCAGCTAGCCCCGACAGCAGCCCCGCAAAGACAGATCTCCACACCTCACCCATGCTGGGCATATAGGAGCTGTGACAAAGTCCTGGATGCGTGGCTGACAAGAGATATGGACATTTCCAGAGAGCATTTGCTGTGAGACACTGTATGAGAAAGACAGCGGGGACAGGCGGATGAGAGCAAGCTACCTGGCACGCACGACAAACAGCTCTAAGGGTCACATATGGTTCCCAACAAGGCTGTTCTTATCACCAGTAACACCGGTCTCTGGCATTTACTGAGCATTTCTGTGTCAGGTACGGGACTTGGTCCTTTCCACGTGACACCTCTGTGGTGGTTTAAATTGGAATGGCTGCCATAGCCTCATATATTTGGATGTTTGGTCATTAGGAAGTGGCCCTACTTGACAGGGACTAGGAGGTGTGGCCTTGTCAGAAGAAGTGTATCACTGAGGGTGGGCTTTAGGGGGCTTCAAATGCTCAGGTCAAGGTGCCCATGGATCCAGATGTAGAACTCTCAGCTACTCTCTAGCTGCCTGCATGCCACCATGACGATAATGAACTTCATGGTATCTCTTTACCGCAAAAGAACACTGATTAAGACAATCTCATTTAGTTTTTCTGACAAACCAAGGTGGAGACATTACTATTTATTCCAGTTTGGAAGAGGAAGAGGAGGCTTGGCAGGGCAAAAAAACAAACAACAACAACAACAAAAAAAAAAACTAAGGTCTCAAGGAAAGTACGTACAGGGGTCAAAATTCAAGTCTAAACTCCTGAGACTTTCAGAGTGCGAGCTCTCCGCCTACATGCTGTGTTGTGTCGATTATACTATGCTAATTCCAGAGGAGGATGAAGAAAATGACAGGGGCCAGCCACTCAATAGTGTTTCCTGGTGTGTGTGTGTGTGTGTGTGTGTGTGTGTGTATGTGTGTGTCTCCATCAGCTCTGTGAGAAAGGGAGGCAGCTGGGGCAGCCCCAAATAACTCAGTGAAACACAATAGCACTTGGGAGAGAAATGCCAGGCAGGAGAGTTTGGAGGGAACATGGTAGCACTGCCTAGCACAATGAACATTAACTCAGACAGGGTCAGGGTTGCTTCTTTGGAAAAAGCAGGGAAAAAAACTGGATGATTGGTGGGGGGGGGGGGGGGGGGAGGTAGAAAATGCAAGCTGAATGAGCTGGTGGAGTTGTTTCAGTGCTCTGTGAGCCTGACGGAGAAGACACTCTCTCCTTCCTGCTTAATTTGTCTCTGCCAGCAAACACTGTGAGGACATCTCAAGAGACAAGGAGACAGGCTGGACAGATATGCTGAGGAGGGACTGAGGGACTTCCGGCTTTACAGCACTGGGAGAAGAGGGTCCAGAATGGGGCCCAGCTCTGGCACAGTGACAGCTCTGTTGTGTCATAGTCCTCCTCGGTGCCAAGCATGGCCTGTGGTGCCTGGCACTGCAATGGCAGTACGTACTGTGGAAGGTGTGCAGGTGGATGGAGAGGCCATTGGCTTGCCGGAAGCCCTTTCCACAGTCCCTGCAGACGTACGGCTTGTCTCCAGTGTGGGTCCTCACATGCCGGGACAGCTCGATGGACTGGGCGAACACAGCATCACAGTACTGGCATGCGTACATTTTCCCTGCAAATGCACATGAGCGTGTGAGAACAAGCACTGAACACAGATGGCACTCCTGCAAACAGAACCAACGGTAAAGCACACACCAGAGAAATGTCGCGGGCAGGTGACATTACCTCGGGCAATGCTGGGTAAGTCTGAGGCACCTCATCAAACGCAGGTACCTCACAAACATAACCCACCACACAGTGGTGACACAACTGGAGGGAACAAAGCTCTTGTCTCTAAGAGAACCCGTTTGTTTATCAGGTTTCCGCAGAGAGGAAGAGCCCACTCCACTTCCAGCCAGAGATAGATCCTTTTGTCCAGAAATGTGAGTTAGATCTTGCAAAATTCAGTGTGTTCTTGCAAAATTCAGTCCAGGCTATGGGAGACCAGTCTCACAACAAAGCAAACAACAACCAAGTCCAGCATGGATTCCCACTACCACTAAGGTGAGCTAGGGATTCAGAGGGGACAGGGCCTCCAGTGACCCACTGCAGTCAGCACACAGCCCTTGAATCCCTCACTTTCCATGTGCATGAACGTAACCACAGTTAGAAAACAGCAAGACTGGAGACCTGGCATCTGACACCAGGCCCCCAGCTCCTCCCAGGCCAGGAAGCAGCCACTGGGGAGGAGGGCTACAGATCAGCAAGCCCAGTGCTGGGCCCCCTTCAGCTAGAGCAATAGCCTTGCTCCCGTTTTTTTTTTACTGAGCAGGCTTTGGGTAAGACTTTGTACACGCACACACATGCATACAAACATATATGCAGTGTGAACTCTAGCCTGTCATCACTCTGATCCAAACTCTTTGTGGCTTCTTGTAGTCACTGCTGTGACCAAGTCAAACGTCTTTGCGATGAGAGACTGCGCTATTCTATCCAGGTGGCCAAGGGGAATCCCAGATAAGACGGAGGATGCAGAGTCTAAGGAGAAGGTCTGCTGTAGGTACAGAGGCTGAAGTGATGTGGCCCAGAGCCAAGGAAGCATCTAGAAGCTTCTAGGTGAGGAACTGAGTCTCCTGATGAGCACATCTCAAATGAAACCTTGGTTTTAGCATTCAGGACCCTTCTAAAAATAACTTCTAACTCCCTGGTGGTAAAAACACATGTTATTTCAAGCTATTATTTTTGTTAATTCATGAGAACAGAAAGAAGTCCTTTCCTTGGCTACCAGAAAACCCTACCAATCTTGGCTTTCGACAGCCCTCTCTGAACACTGCTTCCAGCTCTCTGTGGTCCATCTGAAGCTCATTTGCACTGAGGAGGGGCGTGGCCCTTCTTCCAGATGTCCCTCTGGCTGGATTGCTCATGGTGTGAACAGCACACACCAGCCCTGACCTTCCCAGTTGCTACCGGTCTTAGTTTCCACCATGGCAATGGCGACCCTCTCCATTTCTATCCCAGAAGAACAGGCTGAGGGCAGTTTCCACAAGGAGGCTAAAGAACCATCACACAAAAGTGTGCCCGGAGGAAGGAAGAGGAGCAGAGCCCTCTGAAGGGAAGGGTCCCAAGACAGGGACCGAGCATAGAAGTCCTGGAAAGTGTTTGGTGGGCCTGAGGCCTGGCAAGGAAACCAGTGCGTGTGTCAGGGTGTGGGTGAAGAGGAGTGATTGACAGCAGAGGTCAGAGTGGTGTCAGGGGCGGGATCATGGTTGGCACGACTCAGATTCCCACTGCAGATGAAAAGTCACTGCACTGTTGAGCAGAGTGGCCTGCCAGGGTCACTTTACCTGCCAAGGCAAAGGGGGGGTGCTGAAGAGATGGGTCAGACGTTAAGAGCACTGGCTGCTCTTCCGAAGGACCCAGAATTCCCAGCACCCACATGGCAGCTCACAATTGTCCGTAATTCTAGCTCCAGGGGATCCAACACCTTTATGCAGACATATATGTAGACAGAACACCAATTTACATAAAGATAAAAATAAGTAAATCATTTGGTAAAAAAAAAAGGTAAAAAGGGAATGCTTAGACAAAGAGGCTTCGAGACCATGAGGTGATGGAGGCATTGCTACCTAGGAGCTCTGAGCCCTTCCCTGGCCAGGTCCCTACCACGGTCTCTTCCACCATCCTAGGATGCTTCCTTATGAAGCACTGATGGGGCTCCACCCATCTCTACCCCTCCCCAGCCCTCAGGCAGGCAGGTACAAGAGCACAGGATTCCAGGAATTACCTGGCACTTAGCATGGCCCAGCCACGGAAGTACTCCTAAGCTCTTTGCCCTGCTTCAACTCTCTTGCAAGTGCAAACAATTCAGATGTATGTAAATTCTGACCACAAAATCTTAATGCTACTCTAGCCCACTCTTCAGAAGCCCTCCTGGAAAGCATTCTACAGCCTGTGTATACCTGGTTATTTCTGCTTTACTTCCCCAATTATTATGCCCGCCTAAGGCCAAATGGGGTTTAGCTCCCCCAGTGGCACTGTGCAGGCAAACAAAGGGTGCCCCTCACCTTCCGAGTGCTTCTTCTTGGTGTGGTAAGCCAGGGCAGAGGCCTGCGTGAAGGTCATGAGGCAATGCTTGCACATGAATGGGCGGTCCCCCGTGTGAAGGCGCAAGTGGTTCTTTAGGGTGGAGTTGGCTGCAAACTTTGCCCCACATTCTTCACAGGAGAAAGGCTTCTCGTCGAAGTGCTCGGTCAGCTTGTGGTACTGCATGCCTAGATAGGGGTACCAGGCCCCCAGGAGACACCATCGGTCAGTCAGGAACACAGCAGGAGGATGTCCAAACAAGCTGCACTCGCCAGGCTCATGCTTGAGGCACAGGCCAGGCCACCCTAGCCTCAGTGCTGCCTGCCTCACATGCCCACTAGTCTACTCCCTGCTGCCCCGTCATCTTAGCCTCACTCCTGGTTGAATCTGGTATAGAGATTTTTAGTTCATCTTCCCCGTTCACTCCTCTCACTTTCATGTTTCATTAGGTTACCAGACGTATGAGGCAAGGCAAACTGATTCCAACCTTAGGGTCTCCATATCGATAAATTTCTTATCATTGAATAAACTGGATGTGGGCATCAACAAGCCAGACATCAAACATCTGTTTACAATTACAATTGCCAGTGTGTGGGTGTGGTGCTAGGTGTTTAATTCTTCTATCTTCAAATTCCCTAACAGTGTAGAATAGTGGGGTGCGGGACCACTCTAACAGTTGGGAGAGCAATGCTCAGGGAGCCCACCCCTGAGCCTATGCTCTTCTCAGAATAGCATTGTGCTTCGATGAACCTGTCCTAGTGCCAAAGCCATCCACACTCATGGCACACCCAGGGGGCCAGGCTGGAGCCCAAGCTACAACACCTGCAGCCACTGTCCTCCATGACTGCCTTCTGACATACCTGAGGCATGGGCAAACTCTCTTCCGCAGAGGTCACAAGCCACAGGCAGCCGCTTCTTCTTCTTCTTGGGGGCATCAGGCTCTCCGCCTGTGCTGTGGGTCTCCGGCTGGTGCTTCTCCAGCTCCTTCTCCGAGTCCTTGGTCTCTCCGCCATCCTTACCCTGCACCTGTTTGCTCTTGGCCACCCGGCAGCGCTTCATGTGTACCTTCAGACGACAGTAGAAATGGAAGCTCTTGTCACAGGCTTTGCAGATGAAGCTCTTCTTGGCAGAGTCCGTGGAGGCAGAAGTGTCTTTCTCTTGTTGCTCTGGCACGGACCCAGGCTCCCCCTGATCCTTTTGTTCCACAGGCTGGCAGTCTTCTCTGGCTGCATTGGCCGCTTTCTCCTCTTTGTCCTTGGCTCCAGGGTGAAACCTATCACTCACCGTCAACCTCTCCTCTCCATTTTCCTTGGTAAGAAACCCTGCACAGGAGAACACTCATGGCTCTAGGGCTCAGCTTCTATTATGGTTTGTAACTTTTTCTAACACACTCTTAGAAGTGACTGGATTATCTGGATCCTCAGGAAACTCAGAAGTAATATATTGCTGTCATCTTTACTTCCCACTAAACACAAATAGTGCCATGTCACACCTGTGCTCCTGGCTGTTAGGTACCAAGAGCACATAAAAGGAGTAAATATCTTGAAACACGACATCCTCTTACATCAACCACTGTTTCTTATACTCAATATAGAAGTGCCCGAGGTCTACCAGGCCCCAACCCCTGTTTCTTACCAACATGTATCAACTCCTGTATGAGGGGTTGCAGGCTAGGGAAAGACTTGTGGACACCACACAGGAGGCGACAGATTGCAGAGACCGAGACAGATTTCTCTGACCCCCTGCTCAGCAATGTTCTCAGGGCCGCTTCAGGGCTCACTGTCTCGGAGATTATGTTCAGCATCTAAATGAAAACCAGAGACAGAGCTGTGTTAACATCAGCTTTTCTCCATGCTCTTCAACATGATGGGGGGGGGGGTGTTGAATTCTAGAAGACACAGAGCTCTCTGGATGGGTTATAATTCTCCTTGAGACACATGAACTTATTATTAGCACCTGGCACCTCCAAGGAACCTATTGAGAACTAAGCGAGCCTGGGGGGGGTGGTGGAGCAGGGTATAAGATTCTGGAAGTGACCATGGGAAGCTGGGGGTGGTGGTGGTAATTAGATTCTAGAAATGAGCATGGGAAGCCTGGTGGGCAGGGTTCAGGATTCTAGATCTGACCATGGGAGGTGTGCGTGCGCATGTCTGTCTGTCTGTCTAAAGCATTTATCAGAGGCTGCTCCTGTAAAGATCAGGATAATTTTTCATAATATATAATTGTCTCTATGTCTAGAAGTAATTCTGCATAGAGAGTGGCTTCATATTTTTAGATACTTAGATGTACCCTTTTAAACATCATTTTCTTTCATAAGAAACTCGGCATTTTAAAGCAAGTTCAAATAGGGGCTTTAAAGAGGCCAGGAATATGATTTCAAAGCTGTCCTCTTTCAGAATGTTAGCGCTGTGGGCAGAGAGTCAGCACACTGAGAAAATAAAGCGAGACCATCCACAGATGGTCATGTGGAACTTTCATTTCGGAAGATATTTTATTTCTGCTCTTTTCAGGTCTATCTAAATAACCCTGATGCCCCTGGAGGCAGGCAGGAGACTAATTAGTGAGGCTAAAGCGATCAACGGCAGGGGCCCCAGTTCTGAAGTGCACAGCTCTCTGGAGAGAGACGGGCAGATAAGCCTTGCCTCTGGAGCTCTGCAGGAGCGTGTGCCGCCTTCTTCCCGTCTGAGAGGCAGACTGGGGTGGGGCTGTTGCCAGAGGGGATGGTTAGAAACCTGCCCTTCTGTCTATGTGGATCAAAAGGACATTCCAGGTATATCTGTGGTTTGCTTTTATGTTCCTTTATTAGTCTTCCCCGTTGGAGGTGTATATACCCAGATCTGGACGTCTCTGAGTCTTCCTCAGCCCCCATCTAGACTTTCTGGGATGCTGGTCACATGGTGAGATGCCTCACAGAAAATGAGCTGGCACTATTTGCTGCCCCATATGGGCAAAGCTTTGTTCTATGTTTATCTTGGCTCTTTCAGGAGGCCAGAAGAAAACATACAATAAGACCAACTTCCTTCATCTGAGCCCAGCTGCTTCTGAGAACATGGTAGAGAAAGAGTCACCATTTCTCCAGCTACTCTAAGCTTGGTTGGAAGATATGCTCCCTGGGCTTGTGTCACTGGCTTCAATTCTGGCTTCACTGCTTCCTCACCAGTTTCCTAGACCAGAAACACAAACCACTTACTCACCAGTTTCCTAGACTGGAAATAACTGTGCAAGCCTGAACTCTTCTGTAAAGGGACATGGCATCACCTGTCACTTGGGGATGGAAAGCTAAAGAGCAAAGATGTTCTTCAGTGGAATATCATTTTAACCAGGCAAAGGAGTGATACATTTAAAGTTTATGCTATGGAACATTACTTTAACTATGAGAAGGCACGTTACATTTGTTTATGCTGCATTTGTTTAATTATGTAAAGATGTGTCACATTTATTTCACCTTGCCTGCCTAAGGCACCTGATTGGCATAATGAAAAACTGAATGGTCAATATGTAGGCCAAGAGAGAGATAGGCAAAGCTGGCAGACAGAGAGAGAACAGGAGAAACCTACACTCAAAAAGAACAAGAAGGATCTCTGTGAGTTCAAGACCAGCCTGGTCTACTGAGCGAGTTCCAGGACAGGCTCCAAAACAATACAGAGAAACCCTGTCTCGAAAAACACCAAAAGAACAAGAAGAAGAGAACGAGGGAGAAAGGAGGGAGATGCCTGGGGCTAGCCAGGCAACCACCAGCAAGCACAGAGTAGGACACACAGAAAGGTAAAGAGCCCCAGGAAAAAGGTAGAGAAAGAGAAATAGGTTAATTTACAATTAAAAAGCTAGCCAGAAAGGAGCCTAAGCTAGGTCGAGCACTCATAGCTAATAGTAAGTATCCGCATCATGATTTGGGAGCTGGATGGTGTCCCAAAAGCAAATGCCTGGTACAGTGTTCTGAAGAGCTGGCGGAGCACTAGGTATGCATTATGTATGCTGCAGAGAATGAAGATGGCTCCAAGCATCTACCCTGCAAAGTTCTACAGAATTCGGGGACCCACCAGCCTTTACCCCCTCCTCCACTCCCCACCTCTTTGACAATCTCAGCCAGGCGCTCATCCTCTGAAGAGAAGTGTTTGAGCTCTGTCATCTGCTGGATGGCCTCTGTGACCAGCTTGCTATGCCTCAGGATTGCTTCCAATACAGTGCTCTCTGGGGCAGTCACTGAAAGAAAGGGACACTCAGCCAAACCACAGGCATCATGTTCTCCTTCACCTCTCCACTCCACTCTTCACAAAGACAACATAGGTCATCTGTCGCTTCATTTGGACTGGGAGTGGAGTGAGGAGAACAGATAACCACTGTAGTCAGAGCATAGCAAATGAGGGCTTGTCAGCACCCACATCCCCAAACATGATGTCCTTGTATTTCCTTTGACACATAAGCCTGTGTGTTTTTACCACCTGATGTCTCCATGTGTGTGGGTGCTGTGCCATGTTTGAATCAGGACTAACTACCTAGCTCCTCAGACACCACTTTCTGAACACATTCAAAACCCTTTCTTCTTGCTTTCTTCAAACACACAGCACCTTCGTCACTGATGGACACCCTGTTGTGCAGGAGAACGCAGAAACTTACTTGCCATTGCTCCTGAGGGGAGGGACACATGGCAACCATGAGAGTCCTCTTACCTCCTGGGGGTCCAGAGTTGTCTCTATTGGGGCAACACCAAGGCAGAGCACAGACAACTCACCTGCCCGGAAGAAAGCCCCGGCACCAGGCTCTTTTCCTATTTCCTCCAAAAGCAGGTTCAGTGGGCAGGGCTGGGTCTCTTGAGCTACTAGCAGCAGCTGCCAGATGGCTGTTGCAGAGAGAGTCTGCCTTTCCAGAGCTGCTGACATCATGGAGTTGAAGCCACCTGAGCCAGAGGCCTGTCTCACGAGTGCCTCCATAACCTTCAAGATGCAACACAAACATGGGTGTAAGAGATTGGTCCTGAGCTGGGTTCAAGTGAATATGCTGTGGGAGAGGAAGTCTTTCCAATATTTCTCTCTCTCGACCGGGAAACTTTTAAATTCAAATTTACTTGGTGTGTAAGGGGGTGGGGTATGGAGTCAGGGACACAGTCTAGTAGTAGAAATAGTAGAAAGTTTATTTAACATACACAATGCTTTGGGTGTGGCTTTTAATATATATACATGCAAAATAATCTTAGCTTGAAAGTCAGTATCAGAGAGAGAGAGAGAGAGAGAGAGAGAGAGAGAGAGAGAGAGAGAGAGAGAGAGAGAGAGAGAGAGAGAGAGAGAGCACTAGTGAGCGCATGTGCTTTAGTTTTTAGGCAGGATTGTGCACCCCAGGCTGGCCGGCCTTGAACCCATAATCCTCTTCTCCTGACAGAGTTCTTATCTGTAACGAAGTTCTTTGTTTTTTCTCACGAATGCTTCTCTTTATTACTGTATAACTATGGAGTGCAAAATACTTAAAAATACAACTATTTAGGCCAGTGAGGTGGCTGAGGGAGTAACGGCGCTGGCCACCAACTCTAATGGCCTCAGTTTGATCCCTAGAACTCTGATAGGAAAGAACTGACTCCTGCAGGTTGTCCACTCTACAAACTAAACAAACAAAACTTAAAAAGAAAAGAAAAAAGAAACTGCAACTATTCTATTTGGTACTAACCCTGAGAAAATGAGTCACCTTCTAGTTCTTCTTGGCGCCTCTCAACATAGCGGTGTATTATGTATTTATAGAAAATGTAAATGTGTGTGCATACATAGCTATACTTCCCTTCTTTCTGCTCACCTCTCTGTCTCCAGGGGCTACGTTCTTCACACGTGAGATTGCCTCTCGCAGCACCTGGTTGTCTGTGAGCACCTCAGATAGGTTTTCCTGGTACTTTCTCAGCAGCTCAGCGCCGTAGTCCTCAGGGTTAGGGTGGGCTGTAAGGACAGCAGCACAAGACTCAGGCCTGAGGCTCCAGAGGCCAAGGGCCCCACAGACACAGGAGCCAACACAAGTGAGAGGGCAGCAGCATGGGAGCTGTCTCTGCTGAAGAGTGGAGGCCTGTGGGTAGGCCTGGGCCACACACACAGCATTCAGGCCTCCTCTGGTCTACACAGAAGCCAGGGACTGCCCAGCAGGCGGGTAATGAGGAGGCTGAGCTTGCGAGAGGCTCTGTGGTACAGATTCAGGGGGGTCTTCCTCACAACTCCCCGGGTAAAGGATCCATGTGGTGATCCCAAATACCATTAGCTACCAGTCCAGGCTGTGCCTGGGAAGAGGTATGCCCTTCTGTTCAGAGGCCCTCTGAGCCCATCTGCTAACTACTTCTTAAGCGATAGTTCCTTAAAGGTAAAGAAAACACAAGCAAGCTGCACAAAACTAAATCCCCTAGTTTATACACAGTTATGTCTGTATTTTCCTCTTTGACCCAGTAAATCTACTTCTGGAAACTAAGCAAAATAAACAAACCTGAAGGCAAAGAGCCGTTGCCATTGTAGAGCCATGGTAATGATACTGACTGTGAAGCCAGTGCTAAGAGCCTACTATGTGCCAGGTACGTCACTAAACGTTTAACAGCTGTCATTTCACAACAGTCACAACAATGAATGTGACAGTGTACAACTTTTACACCTGTTCCAATGAGGTTCATAAAATGAAGCTGCCTTAAGGTCAAATGTCACCATGGCTTCCAGGGTTTCCATTACACCACATCTGCCCAAATCAGGGCACAGTAATGTACCACGCGCAGCTGTGTGACAGAAAAGCACACAGCTGTCAAAAAAGACTGGAATTTCTAGAGATGCAAGAGGATGTTTTGATTCTATTATATGAGCTAAAAGATAAGGTATGGACATGAGCACACATCTCAGCATCAACACTGAAGGACTGGGGGAGTAAAACAACAGCTTATTTTCTTCTTCATTTTTGGGAACTGTTCCACTTTGTATCTGTATATATATATTACTGCAAGCTGGAGAAAAGTCCTGTTTCCCAGAAAGCCATCTTCATCCTATATGCTCTGGGATAGGCAAAGTAGTTCCAGCTGGCTATGAACGGAACTGGTCTCCTTCTCCCAAGACGAGGGACACCAAGGGGACTGTGGCACACAGCTGGGAAGGTGGCAGTCAGGGCTTGAATTTGCCACTCACATCCATCCACAGAGTCTGTTGGAATGCACAGCCTCCTGGATCCCTCTGTCTGTTCAGTTTCACAGGTGACCCTGGGCAGCCCTGTGGGAGGAGGGTCCATTTATAAGTCTGAACCACAGAGACCCTAGGAGGGAGCTTGGTGGAGAAATGTCTCAGATCTCAACCAATCTGACAGCGAGCTTGCTTCACAACTCAGCCATTCCTTAATACAGCTCCTCTTCCTGGCACGGGCCAGAACGGACCCGTGAGCTGTGATTTTCTGACAAGCAGCTCCTATCTAGAGACTAAACAATTAACTAGTACCTGTGGTGCCAGGTGACTCTGCTACTTTCTGCAAATTCTCCAGCAGGAGGCTCAGGTTTGGGAATGCTGTTCTCACAGCCTGGAGGAGTTTTAGCAGGCTCTCGGCAGGCAGGGTCTTCTCTTCAGCCATTCTGTGTAACAAACTCTCTATCGTCTCCTTGGGTGTTCTGCCCTCACAGCAGTTCAGAATCACCTGCAGGGGCATGCAATCAAGCAGACACCGTTATCGCAATTCAAAATGGATCTAACACTGCCTTGGGAAGCCAGCAAGAGAGCCTAACCAGATGCCCATCTCCAACCTCCACAGCTGGCCTCTAGAACTACTTTTTGTCATAGTCCCTTCCTTTTTCTGTTTTGTTTTGCTTTTTCTAAATTTCAAACATTCTCCAAACAAACAGCTCTATGAAACTTGCCCAGCGGCAAGCCCACATATAACCTTTGCTTCCAACAGCTCGCACAGTTTGCAAACCTTTTTTAGAAACAGGACCAGCCTGGGACTTGTTATATAGCCCAAGCTGGCCTTGAACTCATGGCAATCCTCCTGCTTCAGCCTCACAACTGCTAGAGATACAGATATGCACCAGCACAGACAGCTGAAAGGCCCTCATGCCTGGCAGTTGTGACCCAGGGAGAAGTGCACAACTGACCAGCTCTTTGGGTCCTGCCTGCTTGAGACGCTGAGACAGAAACAGGCTGGCAACTAACACTGCTAAAAGGCTTTTCTATCTTTGTTTCATATTCAATTCTGTTTATTTACTTCCACTTTATTTGAATACTAAAAAATCTTAGTCTCTGACTACAAAACAATAAAGTGTTCTTTCAGATTATTTTTCTTGTAAAATCTTTTGTTTGTAGAGACCAGATCTTGCTATGGCTGCCCTGGTACTCACTCTGCTGCACAGTTTGGCCTCAAACTCAGGGAAATCCCCCTGCTTCAGCCTCCTGAGTATTGAGGTTACTGTGTATGCCCCTAGAATTTGTGGGTTTGTTAGTTTTGTTGTGAATTCTCTGTGTGCATACACGCCTGCACTCCTATGCACCAGCCCCATGCTCGGTGTGTGCAAAGGTCTGAGGAAGACACTGGTGTCCTGTCCTGTTCTATTAACTTCTTCTTGTTCCCTTGAGACAGGGTCTTTCAGGGAACCCAGATCCTGGCCTTCCAGCCCCAGGGATCGTCTGTCTCACCCCCAGCACTGGGCTACAGGCACACATGCTGACTCTGCCTACTTAGTACGTTGTGCTGGGATCCACACTCAGGGGCTCATGCAGCTGTCTCACCCACCAACCCATTTCCCCAGCCGCTCAATGGCCACATGTGTCAGCTCCACTACAACTCAACAGCCCCACCTCCCTTGATCTGTCTTGATTTGTCAATACATTTTCTGAGCAAAAAGGTCACAGGGCTCCAGGAAATAGGTTGGACAATTAAACATGTGACAGACACTTTCCTATTGCCATAGAACTATTTCCTCTCTCTCTTTCTCTCCCTCTTCCCCTCCCCTTCCTCCTCCCCTTTCCTCTCTCTTCCTCTCCCCCTCGCCTTCTCTCCCACCTCTCCTTGTCTCTCCCTGAGACAGGGTTTCTCCATGTAACAGTCCTGGCTGTTCTAAAACTTGTTGTAGACCAGGTTGACCTCAAACTCACAGAGATCCACCTGCCTCTGCCTCCACAGTGCTGGATTAAAGGAGTACGACACCACTCCCTGGCATAGAACTATTTCTTCTAATTTTGGTTGTGAGTGTAGCCTTTGATGGCTGAGCTCCAGTCCTAGAACTATTTCTTAATGGACTGTGGTGCAATATGCATACCATGGCTCTTACAGAGCCAAGAGAGCAGGGGATTATTTCACTGTATTAGGTCCATGGATCCACAGCAACTGAGCTGTGAGCCTTCCTCTGGGAAATGCCTGCTCTCAGGAGACGGTTAAGCAGATCAGTCACAGAAGCATGCCAGCAGCTGCCATTATCAAATTAGCTCCATTATAAAATAACGAATTGAGCTTTAAAACCAAATTGTCTTTCTACATGTGAAAGGAATACGTGTAAAACAATCAAGTTGTCATATTCCTTGTTAGTAATTTTTCTTTGGATAAGGTTTAATATATGGCAGATACTAAGTGAATCATAATTTAAAATTTAAGAGCTTGTATTTAAATCCTGTAGTGACTTCAGCACCCACCCTTCACTCTGAAGCAGCCTTCTGATGTCCAATGAAGCAGCTCAGGGACGGCTCTTATGGCCAGACTGACTTAGTTTGAACCCACTACTAACTATTCATGCTGTGTAACTTTGGGCAAGTTACATGATTCTTGGAAGCTCATTTTCCCCACTTACAAATGAAGATAACTGCATCAGCACCTGCATTGTCCTTCTAAGAAGCCTGTGAGATGAGGCTGCTGCTTACAGAGCCCGGTGAGACTGTTAAGGACACACGTGCTCCTTCAGAAGCATGCTGCTATTAGCCACAAGTCTTCTGCAGAGTGGTGATGATGCTCTCAGTGAGCGGAGGCCCAGCAGAGCCCAGCAGAGCCTCAGCCTCCTCCCAAGCTCCCAGTTCTTATGAGCACGGTCCCTGTCCATCAGGTTACAGAGCTGCTGGGAAGGAAAAGTCAGGACAACACTTGCAGGCCATAAGCAGTAAACAAGTGGCAACTATAGTAACTGCTATGCTTGCGCCCTGAAGTAAGAAACTCTTCCTTTTCATTTTTTACAGAAAGAACTCAAGGCTTTTTACAGAGAAAGCATGAAAAGCATAATTTCATAAAAGAAGTTCTGATGGGTCTGGTGATGTTCCCCGTGGTGCCATGACATTCACTTCTGCAGTCGACTTGGCTGGGCTGCTGAGCCTTCTAGCAACTGCTGCTGTGGTTGTATGACCCCAGCTTAAGAAGAGCTGCTGTGATTTGCAACTAATTTAAGTTCTGCTCCAGCCTTTTTTGTCAAGTAAACTGAAAGTGACAGAAGAAAATGACAGTGTGGTCTATCCTGCAGCAGAGCTTAGGGCTGGGGCTGGTTCTATCTCTAAGTGCTGTTTTACAAGATAATGGAACAGCTCAAAGTCCACTTTCAGCCTAGCTTGTCAGGAAAACCTGGGAGGAATAATCGAATGAAATCTTCAACAGGGAATCAGAGGCTTCTGGTGCAATAAGCAACTTACTGAAACCAAGTGCCCAAGATTACACCTAATCTGAAACCTCAGGAGCAAAACACAAGCTCATTCCCCACCATATTAGCATTGTCTCTGAATCTTACATAACTTTAAAACATCATCAATTTCCAAACTACATTTCTGAGATTAGAAGCTTCTTCCCCTAACTGTCTGTCTGCCAGGATATTCAACCTAAGATGACGCCGGCAGCCAAGATGACCAGGACCCAGTCCACTATGAACCCAGTGCTATCATACCAATGATTTAGAAACATCTCTCCTGGGCATCTAAGTCACTCTCTCAGTTTTAAGAAGTAATGCCCCGAAAGTTCTCTCTCCCCACCCCTCCTTCTAGACAGACATATTTTTAGCACAAAGTTGAAATCGATAACACCAACAAATACAGTTATCTAGTTGCCCTAAGAAGTCATGCCAGCAGTTTTATGAGGGTTTTAGCAGCTAGCTGTTGAGAGAATAAACTGGTGTGACCTTCCTGAAGGGCAATTTGACAATGTCCACGAAGACTTTTACACTCTATTCTAAAATTCCATTTAAAAATTACCCTAAGGAAATAATATCAAGAAGTCTGCAGAGCTTTGCCTGCAAGGATGTCTTCTGCAACATCATTTATAACACCAAAGAATTGGCAACAAATGCCCAAGAATAAAGAGTGAATGAGTCATGGGATGCCCATTAGAATAGAACAGTGCTCCCTGATCCCTGAGTGTAGATAGAGATATGTGGAGGCAGAGAAGAGTCCCGAGCTTTTAGTGCCTCAGCCCAGTACTCCAAGGAGACAAAGGGAAGCACATGCTGCTAGCAGGTTCACCTTAATTTTTAAAAAATATTTTTTGCTTGTTTTCTTCTGTATTTACATATTAAGCATGTATCATTTCTATAAATAAGAAAAGCATCATCATTACAAATGTGCCACAACATTCACCTCTTGCTACAAGTAAAGTCAAGTCAGAATCCCAGCAGCAGTAGTGCCATCTGCCCATCCACCTGCCCAGCGGCCATGTGCTGCAGAGTGCACGGTATAAGCTATGGTGAGAAACAGAATGGAGTATGCGACAGGAATTAGCCAGGGTGATTGCTATGCAGAAGGCATCAAAATATCGGAAGGCAAAAAGCACCTCGTGTAGCAAAGGCGCTAGGAACGAGCTCTGCAGCAGTTCAGAAGGGGGCAGAGGCGTGACACGGTTACCCTTTTTTCGGAGACAGGCAGGAATTCCTCCTTGGCTGTTTCCAGGAACTCCACAATAGGTCTGAGCTCTGTTACACACTGGATCAGGTCCTCTTTGTGTTCCAGTAACAGAACAGACAAGGTCTTTCCCTCCCCTGCGCTCCCTGGGGGAGAAAGAATTAGAGACACACAAGAGAAGCTAGTCAATTTGAAGAAAATGACAGCGTGGTCTGTCGAGAGAGATCTAACAGAATAGTAAAGTGCTTCGGTGCACCTGAATGCAGAATCACTTTTGGAGAGGAAAATACTTTATTATTCTGTTTAAACTCTATGAAAGGAAAAATGTTTCATTTATCTGTTGAAATACAAAGCTTCAGAGCCAGCCAGAGGTTAACTTCTGGTAGGCAAGGCCACTGCTTTGTACCTAACCCAAATGAGAGCAACTTCAGCCTTTAAGTGCTGGCAGCGAACCAGTCACTTGAGGCGCTGCTTTGGACATTCGGCTTTTTGAAAGGCATGAGGACAGTGACGGTAGCCTCAGTTTGTTGAGGCGCCAGTCTAGATAACTAGGGCTGAAATGGAGACTCACAGGAGGCCTGTTCGTATTTAACATGCAGCTTCTGGGATAGCACGAGAGCCTACATGACAGATACCAACAACACACATCACTGGCTGGAACTCTAAAAGCTGGGTCACCCAGGTGGCCAGAATGCCCTCCTACCTTGTGGCTGAGGCTGAGACACCTTCTCAGCAGGCATGGACTCCTGGCACAGTCTCATCAGAGACAAGACCACCTGCACATCCAGGCGCCCATCACGCACTTTGTCCAGGAGTCTCTGGAATGCTGAGCCTTCTCTTTCATCCTTAAGACATCCCATTATGGTCTGTGAACCAAGTACCCAGAGAGAAAGAGAGACCAATTACCAACAAGAACTATATCTGTGGCACAAGGGCTCTGCCAACTTGACCCTCTCCCCCTCCACCAGCCCTTCACCTGCACCAACTTGTAGGTACAGCAACCCAACCAGCTCAGCCACCTGGGCTCAGCACCCACTCCCATTCTCTAGTCCTCCTTAGGGGCCCCACAGGCCCAAATCCTCTCCGCTGGTCCTCCTCTGTGCTGGACACACATGCTAGAACTGTTTCATTATTACTTTCTCCTCGGAGACTTTTGGAAGGCAGCAATCATGCTCCCAGGACTCTATGGCCTCAACAAGAAGAAACCAGCCTGCCACACAGTAGCTGTGCAGTATATTTTTAACAAATGTAATGCACTTCTTGCCTAATTAGACCTTTCTGAATCTACAACACTGGATATTTCTCAGGCAAAGATATCTGAATTTCAAATTGAATGAACTGTCATTTTACTATTTGAGAATGCAATTAAAACCTTGCGAGTTAGGAAAAAAGAATACTTTAAGTCATTTACATTCTGAATGATAGACTATTTAGAAAGACACGGGCCTTATTACTTTTAGATATATTCTGTAATAAGGCTAACAATGTGTTGGCTTATAGGTGCCAGCTGTCAGAGAACATGATTCACATATTAATTACCCCATGGTAACGGCTGCTTCTCCTCTAGAAAGGAGAAGTGTCAAAGTTTCTTCTGAGACCAACACACACAGTCTGCCTTGCCTCTCACCCCACACTGCCTGACCTTCCAACAGCATTCGGCACCACTCGGCCATGGTATCAGTTTCCTGACATCAGGACATGAAGTGCTATGGTTGAAAACACATCTTTGTGGCCAGCCCCTTTCCAGCTTTCTCCCAAATCCATTACCATAGCAATACCTAAAACATTATTTTTCAGGAGAAACAGAACTGTCACACAGCCCGGCTGGTCCCAGCCTCCTGTCAACCCTTGTTTCTTTCCCTGACAATCCTGTAAAGAGGCTCGATCGATATCCAGCCCTCTTCTGATAGAGAGCCACACAGCTCTGCGAGATAGACCTTAGACTCTAGGTCTCAGGGCCACACCCTTGACTATTTGAGATCACAGTAAAGTATCTGCAACTCCAGTGTCAAAATAAACAAAATGAACATGCCTTTCTTTGATGTGACAAAACATCTCTTATGGAAATGGGAGGAAGACGGATGGGAAGGCAGAGTTACTATTTCTATTTTAGCAAAAATTTGTTTTGAAAAACATGAGGTCCACCAAAACGTAATTCCTTCATAAGTTGCATGTATACTTCTTATAGTAACCTTTGAAAGGGTTTTCTTATGGTTTTGGTCATCTCTAAAAGTAAACTTGGACAAAACCTAGTTTAATAATCTAGACTTCCATGGCTAAGAACACTTGCTGCTCTTGTAAAGGACCAGAGTTCAGGCTCTAGCATCCATGATGGGAAGTTCACAACCACCTGAAACTCCAGTTCTGGGGAACTGATGCCCTTCTCTTCTGGCTTCTGCAGGCATCTGAACACATACTGCAAGTGTGCAAGTGCACACACATTAAAAAATCTACATAAAGATTTTATAAATGATTTCCATTAACCTTAGGCAACATATCATCTATTTTAAAAACAATGAACAAGAAAGAGAGATATCAGGTGAATGCTTTAAATCCCCTTTGGCCAAATTAACCCAAATTCTTACGCTTTTGTCAGTTGGTCTACCATCTCTTTAGAAAACCCTTCACTGGTAGCAGTAGGCATCCTGAGGGCAACAACATGCAAAACAGCTCCCAAGACTTCTGGCTGCAGGTGCATGTGACGGTGTAAGCATTGACTTGCTCTGCTCACTGGCTGACTCTCTCTGCCTTGCTCTGGGAAATGCAAGCTACCATGTTTGAACTGCCCTAGGGAGAGATCAGTGGGAAGAAGGGACAGGTCCAATTGCAGCCGAGTGTAGTATGAAAGCACACCTTCTAGAACCTGCTAAGATCCTGGGGAGCCGAGTCCAGAGACAACAGTAGCTGGCTGACACTCCAGCTGCAGCCATGTGAGGCTCAAATCAGGGACCAGCCAGGTTCCACCAAACTCCTGACCTGCAGAATCTGTGGGAATAAGTAATGCTCTTTCCAGGCTGCTGGACATTACAATGATGTCTCACATAGGAAGAGGTGGTTTACTGTCACTCTTCATTCGTAACACCCTTGGTAAACACATTACTTCCTCAGTTTTGCTTCTCATTTCTCCCTTCCTTTCTTACTGATATCACACAGTCTCCTTATTCTACCCCAGGCCAGGCTGTTTCTTTGTTCACCTACGGCTCTCTGAATAGTCCACATTCTCTCTGGGTATCCACTGTGTCTGGCATTATCTTCTGAGCTGAGGGGAACAGAGCTTCCACCAGCGGTGGCTTCTGAAGTGCTCTCATCTGCTGTCTCTCCCTCTGCAGAACTACTCAGCGGTGAAATTAAAACATTTGTTAACTTCATTGCTCAGCAGTGGTGCTGGGTGACCACCTGGGAGGAGAAGCAGGAGAGGGCTGATGAAAGGGCAGGAGGGAACCGTCAGCTGTCTGGACAGCCCTGCTCTTCACTCCAGCACTGACTGGGCATCCACATCAGAGTTGGCACTCCAGGCTTGCAGGCCCCCTTCTGCAACAGCAGCTCTGCCCAGACAGGAATGCCAAGAGGATGCCATATACTGTGCAGGGCTGCTACATGTAATGGAACTCCATGATCCCAAGTAAAATACAGCCTTGCCACCAGAGCCAAGCTCTTTAACCAAACTGCTTTGACTCTTGAGGGGTTAAAGGTACTTCAGTAAATCCATGTCAACACATGTTCACACAAGTAGTCAAAATTACCAAGTAAAATATAGGTAGATGTATTTAAAGATGAGGCAGTTAGTTCTCCTTCTACAACAAGAAAAAACATCTGACCTGTCCCTTCACTCAAGCCTTTCCACTGGACTTATATGCTTATCCCGAATGTTTCTCCCTAGGACCTGCATATCTGTTCGGGTGACAGTCTTGTGCACTCAGGCCTTCCCTTCCATGCTGAGGCCAGGAGATAACAATAATGATAAAGATGGGGCTGGGATGTAGTTCCGGGATAGTGTGCCTGTTTAGCATACATCAGGCCCTGCTCAATTGCTAGCACCAAAAATAAATAAAAATAAACCACAACAAGGACCACAGATAATAGTTCTACACCATCTTGGGCTTGCTGTCTACTTTACCCCTTGCACTATCCCAGGATGCATTCCTTCTGCTATTCTAGAGGAGCTCTGGAGAGGCTAAGGTCATAGGGCAGCGAGCAGAGCGGTCTGAGCGAAACACTGGATACATTAAATCCATCTGCACTGGATGCTACGGGATCTAACAATCAGTCACTGGACACTGAGTAGGACACAGACAATGTGCATGCCATTCTTCTTAGTCTATATGATTACTATGGAGACTGGGACACAGTGCTCCAAGTTTAACTGAACCTTTCCCTACAGCTGCACGCCCTTCTAGAGCTCTAGCTGTGTGGCCCAGACTTGAACAGAGAAGCTCTGGAAAACTGTAGACCTGTGAAATGACTGCCAGTTACTTGCTCTGAGAGGGTTACCCCAGCCAGTAAGCACTGTCCTTAGGACGAAAAGATACACCGTGCCACAAGGCAAAGCAGTGCCACCGCTGAGAACATCCGATTCCCAGAGGAGGAAACTAGCTTGCCTTTGAAATGCAGCTGAAGGAGAGTGAACTGCAGCTCTGGGAGTCTTTCTAGGATGACAGATTTGAAAGTGAAATAAGACAGCCCAGAAATCAATGGTGGAGAAGTTAGCTTCTTATTTGTGACAAAGATCACCTTGCTCTACACAAAATTAAGTAAAAGCAGGACATGGTCAGGAATAAAAGAAGAAGACAATTAAAAGTTATAGCACAAATTAAAAGAAAGTACGGACTGGCTTGACAGGTTTTACTCAGCCAGAAAGTCACTACTTGCTAGCTTTAATAGTAGTGGTGGTGAGACTGTGCACAGTCTAGCAGGAGATGCTCCCACCCCACCCCCAGCCCCAGCAGACCTGTTGTGATCAGTTCTGGCTGTGGAGCGTCCCTGGGTTCCAGCGCGCCTGCCTGGATTGTTTCAGCAGTCACTGCTTAGGGAATGGCTTTGCCACCTTTCATCAGGTAGCTTGGGAGATAAACCTATCAGGACACCAGGAGCCCAAGTGCTCCCTGAAGTCATAAATACACCTCACCCCTGTGTGTTTCAACCAGAACCCGGTGCCACTCACCAGTGGCAGCAGGCCTCAAATGGCACGCGCTCGCGCACACACACACACACACACACACACACACACACACACACAGAGTTTTGTGGGGTTTTTTTGTGTGTTTTTTTTTTTTTTTTTGGTTTTATGAGACAGGGTTTCTCTGTCGGTCCAGCCTGGCCTCGAACTCACAGAGATCCGCCTGCCTCTGCCTCCTGAGTGCTGGGATTAAAGGCGTGCGCCACCGCCTGGCCACACAGAGTATTTTTTTAATGGTGTCAAGTTAAATCATGATGATTAGCCCAATAACAAAAACAATAAAACATTCAAAGCTCCTTGGGAGCTAAAAATGTAAGAACAGGAAAAACAGCAATGCCAATGAAAATAACCAAACCCTATAGTTGTACTACAGCTTAAAATACACTGACCCATAGAATAGTTCTTGAATGTGCTCATCACAGATGCCTTACAGCAGGACCCCACCCAGGAGCTGGCTATACTCATGGAAGCATTTCTTCACTATGAAGTAATCTGTAAGGATAGGGAGCAGGGCTGCCTGGTTCATACCAGCCACTCACAGAGCATCTGCTGAATCAAAGGCAAGCAGAGTGACACTTGCAGAAAATGCAGAGTCTGTGAAAAGGGTTGCCTAAGACCATCAGAAAACACAGACATTTACATTATGATTTGTAACATAGTAGCAAATTAGCTATGAAGTAGCAACAAAATAATTTTATGGTTGAGGGTCACCACAACATAAGGAACTGTTACTAAAGGGTTACAGCATTAAGAAGGTTGAGAACTACTGTCCTATGGCCTCTTAGGACACAGTCCTCTGCCATCACTCACTACAGAAGCCTGGAAGTCATTAAGTTCAGCAGTGCTTCTCAAAATGTGGTTCACGGCCCACAGACACCAGATGGTAGCCCACTGAAGAACCTGTTAAAGGCAGATTCCCAAGCGCTACCACGACCTAAGAATGAGACTCTCCGGACGCTCACATCTTAACGAGTATACTAGACCATATGGAACACACCATTGTTCTAGAGAGAACAAGCACTTCGTCTGAGACCCCACACCTGCAATTCAGGAACCTAATTCCACTCAAGAGCTTGTTACCTTCGTGAAAATATGCCTGATAGATTAAGCCTAGGGTTACATAAACATCTCACAAGTCAGAGTAAAGCACACAGCACTAGGATATCATAAGGCACTCAGTGAAAGGGGAGCACTGAGGCTGCTTAGGCCTACGAGTGCCAAGGCAATTACAAACCAAGGCAGCAGTTGCTACCTACTGAGTGCCAGTAGAGATTTTATAGAGATACCATATAAATAACCCTAATTATGTCATGATGATTCTACAAGGTGTTACCTGGTGACATGCCCATTTTATAAACTAAGATACCAAGCCTTACAAAGACTAGGTTGCTCAGGGTCACTAGGAAGTAGTAAGCTGGTTAAATAAACTATTAGTCTTGCAATGGAGCATTATCCCAGCAAGAAGGAACGAACACACAATAGCACGGATGGGTCTCAACAAAGTATGTTAAGGTAGCAGACGCCCAGAGACTCCATTTATGTAATACTCTAGAAAACACAAACTAATCTAAGTGGACAGAAAACCAGTCAGTGGTTACCTAAAGCCTGGCCAACTGGGATCAGATAACTGAATGTGTGTGAGGGGGTGGGGTAGAGAGATGGAATTACATGAGATTTGGCAACAAAATATTTCTGAACATGCAACAGCAAGAAAATCAAAGTTAAAATCAAGCCGGTAACAAATCTGTGGCAGTGCTCACTTGGTCTGACAGTGTGACTTCATCGAAGCCTTGGTTCTGAACTCATAGTGTGTACAATTTTGTTCTGCACACACTGGCACGCCAGGCAGTGCCACAAAGGCTGCCTCAAGCGCTTCAGCCATCAGTCAAGACTGTTGCTTTGAGAACAACAGGGGTTTTACTGCTCTCACCAAGTTCACTGCTTACAGAGACATATGGTTTATTTATGGGAAACAAAGACTGAATATTTTTCTTCCATCATTTCTCAACATGTGAGTATTGAATTAGTGTATTATGGGTTGTGCTGTGCTAGAATGCTTGAGTTTTCAAATTGCCGTTTAAATTGTTAACATGTATTTTGTTTTTAAGATTGAATGAATTTTGACTTGAAATTAGAACGGAATTTCACATCATTTCTGAAATGGCCCTAAACACACTTGTGCCATTTTGTGTGAAGTCCAAGTACTCATCAGTTCAGAAAATGTAAAGATGCTCTCTGCATCCAGCAGTATCAAATATTCAGTCAAGGTTTTGTACTTTACCTAAAAATAGACATCCATCTCATTAGTATGCAAATCTGCCTTTGTGTGTAATAAATGACTTATCTTAAAATAAATTTCTTGATGATTTATTATCAATAAATGTTGGATTTGCCTATCTGATTTATATACCTATATACCCAGGGTCACATAAAATTTCTCACACACAAACGGGTTGTGAATAGAAAAGGTTGAAGCAGCCTGACTTAGGGAATAGGTGAATGGAGGGATGGAGAAGATTTGGGGTGCTGCATGTCCACCTTGACTGTGAAAATGGTTCCTGGACATACATTAAAATGTATCAAGTCGTGCACTTCACTGCAGTCAAGCATGCCTCTCTAGAGCTGGCTGAAAGGAATGAGGGCAGGAGAACCTGGAACAAGGCAGCTCCCCGACCCTAACCCTAACTCAGCAATTCATTTGTTGCAGTGATGGGGATCAAATCCAGGGCCTTGTGCTTACTAGGCAAGACTTCTACCGGGAGCTACATCCTCTGTCCTTATATTTAACTTAACCTTATATTCTTAATGGCTGTTTCCTTTTGCTTTCTCAGTTGAAAGATGTATTATGGGCTATGGCAGTTTAAAATACAGCCATCAAGTGATTTTTAAAGCTGGTACTCTGACCTCTAAAATCGAGGAAGAAATAACACAAGCCTGTAATGATCACCAGCAGTGACTCAGGGCTCTTCTAAAGCACTCTTAAAGTTACTGCCATCAGAAGATTAGCACAAGAATTAAAACAGAAAGAATGAAAAAAAAGGAAGTTAACAGACCCACATAAAAGATACATGTTTTGTAATTTATTTTTCTTTTATGTGTGTGTATGAGTGTTCTGGCTGCATGCATGTATATATGCACATCATGTTTGTGCACGGCGTCCACAGAGGCTAGAGTTATGGTTCGTTGTGAGACTCCATGTGGGTGCTAGGAACTGAACCCAAGTCTTCTGCAAAGTAGTCAGTGCCTTTAACCACTGGGCCATTTCTCTGGCTCCTACAAGGGGCATTTTAGGGCACAATTAAAATAAATGCAAGTATTACTAATCTGAGCACTGTTGATCTAAGGAATGATGTTCCAAGGGAAGTGAGAAAGCCCCAAGGGAGAAAATGAAGAGGTGTGCCTAGAAGTTCTCAAGGTAACATGCAAGCTCAAAAAAAAAAAAAAATGTAAACCATAATGTCCTTCGGAGCAATCAGACAAAGGGCGGGAGGAATTGAGGACTTGAACCCCCAGAGAGACATCAGGGTTACCCAGCCATGTAAAAAGTATTGCTCTCTAGGCAGAGATCTATGACTATGGCTAATTATTTAGCCATAAAATCAATACTAAAAATCAATTAAATAATAATTAAAATCAATATTAAACCTTGAATTTGTTTTCTAAAATGTAACCTACAATGAGCCAGGCAAACAATGGACTGCTGGTAGGCATTTACTGACAGAATTAGCAGTCAACAAGCCTACAGCAGCAGGGGCCCCTCATTCTACCACTCCCCACCAGATGGGTCGCCTGCTGGAGGTCCCCTGCCAAGCTCTCAGCAGGTTCTCCAGAGAAAGCAGGTGGGCTTCTAAGTGCCTGTGGAGTGAACCCTGCAGGGTCAGGTGTACAGAGCACACGTGTGGATGGGTCTCAGTTGCCTTAAAACAGAAAAGGGCAGCTAAGAAACAGCATGACAACCATCTGGCAGTTTCCTGTCAGGAGATTCCTAGTGTGTTTACACACATGGGTCACTTCTGCCTGCTGATATCAGGGTAGCTCAGTGTGCAGCTCTCTAATGTCAGAATCCCAGCTGAGGGTGTACTCAGAGGTACAGTGCTAATTTTATGCACACAAGGTCGGCCCTTGGCTCTATGCTCAGGACCACACATACAATCAGAATCCTTGGTTTGTCATTCTGGCTGAGTTTTTATGTGCTCTGTGCCTTTCCCAGGCCTTTTCACCCCTTTGTATTCTCACCCATAAAATAAGAAAAAAAAAATAGGTCCATAATTTTTGTGAGGATTAAATGAGATAAAAAACAAATGTCTACCACCATGTTTTAATGAAAGGAAAGAAGGAAGGAAGGAAGGAAGGAAGGAAGGAAGGAAGGAAGGAAGGAAGGGTAAAAAGCCTTGAAGCAAAAAGTAGACGAAGAGAAATAGGTTAAATTAACTTATAAGAGCTAGCAAGAGGGGCTGGAGAGATGGCTCAGAGGATAAGAGTACTGCCTGCTCTTCCAGAGGTCCCAGCGCCCACATGGCAGCTCACAGTTGTCTGTAACTCCAGTTCCAGCAGATCTGGCATCCTCATACAGACATATATGCAGACAAAACATCAATGCACATAAAATAAAAATGAATAAATTATTTAAAAAAGAAATTCCTTTAAAAAAAAAGCTGGACTCTCATGGTGATCACAACACCACTTCCTTTTGGAAGTATACTGTTTAGCAGTCTTTCAAGACCTTTCTTTTGGGAAGGGAAGGAGGTCATTTCATCAGGAAAAGTGAAACCCTAGGTGTTTTGCATTTTCTATTTCTGCCCTGTGAGGGACACCGACTTGGATTTCTGACATGTTGAACCTAGATAAATGACGCTCAGAGGCACCTACCTCCTTCTGAGGGCCTTTAATCTCTGAGCATTCCTCCAGTCTTCTCAATGTGTTCTGGGCGAGCAAGACTGCATTTGAGAAGACACCTTCATGTTCTAGCAGGAAATTCATCTGGTCCTGCTTCCTGTCACACTCTGAGTGAAGAGCAGAATGAACAAAATAGGACTTTATTACTTGAAATGATGGAAAAGCATTTCAGATGAGGACCATCAGTCCCAGACTGCCACACCTAGCACAGGATGCCAGCATTTCCAGGCCTTTTCTTCACACATCATCTGTCTGGTGACAGCCCTGGGGAGCTCTGGGAAGCTGGACACTGATGTCTTAGTATTGCCTCTCTGCTCTGTGTTCACTTCAACTTTCAATACCAAAACACCAGACAGTTTTAAAAGAAGAGCCTAGTGAGAGGCTGTAGTAAATTGTGATCTCCTTCCTAATGGTGACATCTGGCAAACTATCAGCGAAACAAAAAATTTGCAGAGCATGGTGATGCATGCTTGTAATCCCAGCATTGGTAGGTAGTGGCAAGAGGATTGCCATGAATTAGAGGTCAACCTGGTCTACATGGTTCCGAGCCAGCTGGGGCTCCATAGAGGGACTTGGCCTCAAAATATCAAACAACAACAAAACAAAGAATTTAAAAAAGAAAACCCATCAAATACTGTAATTGGCAATAGAAGTACAAATTTCAATTAAATACAAATTTAAATGAAATGAAATACAAAAATCAAACGATTGTTACCTGTTTCTGGGATGGCTTTCTTTGCCTCACTTGAGATCTGTCCAACAGGGGAAGAGGAACATACTTCAGCTGTATGAGGCATCACCCCTGTGATCTCTGCAGCCACATGGACAATGGGAGGACCTGAATTTACCTCTTGGGTAGCCATGTGAATTATGTCCTGGGTCTTGGCTTTCTCAGGGCCTGCTGGTGTGGTAGAAACTTCCAGGGAAGAAGAAGGCTCCCCAGGACCTTCAGAAGAAATGACTTCTACTGAAGGCTTCTCTGAGTCCTTGCCACCTGCCTCTGAGGACAGCACCGAGATGTCCCTTACCACCTGCCCCTGGACAGAGCAGTTTACAAGGTTGGTCAGAAGATTTTTACAACCAACAGCCACATCAAACATCTGCAGGCTATCTGCTAAGGAGATGATCTTAGAGAAGTTGTGCTTGCCCACGGGGAGCTTGCCGGTGTATGTCATTTCTAGCAAGAGGGCAAACTCCTCAGGGCTCACCACAGATGCATCAATGGAGATGGCATCTGTGCTGTCCAGCAAGGTTTTAAACAGGAGGCTAGCCGCGGCCAGGACGAGCTTATGGGCCCTGAAGTAGATGTTGCCGATGGAAATAGTGCAATCACAGAACCGCTGTTCCTTGCACAGGGCGTAGAGCTGCAGCAGCAGCTGCTGGCTGTAGTTGGGGAGTTCCATGGTGTGGCTCCTTCCTCTCTCCCTCCAGATGCCACCTAGTGAGGATCAGCCCTAGAGAGACCCACAAAGAACTATGTCAAACAAACAGGCATTCAGGAAAGGCCTAGTGGGAGATGTTCAACAAGCCAAAGAACTCACTCATTCAGTAACAGTAGCCCACTTCATTCATTTAGTGGTGCTAACAGGGAGGGGCAGGGCACCAGGACTCCTGAGTTAGCAGTAATTATGATAATAATCCTGTGATTAGAGTCAGGGACCATGCTTAGTGCCCTGCATGTATGGTCTCACTTGCTTCTCACGGTGACTCTAGAGGAGTCATCTTTCCTTCCCCATCCCACAGAGTAGCTGAGGGAAAACCAGTTATGGAAGGAAGGGTCTGTAATCACTATAGGCTGATCTGGAAGCTGTAATTGCTCTGCTGTATGCCACTCCTGCCCCCTAGGAAGGACAGACATATAGACACAGACTGGAGATAGAATGTCCCAGTACTCAAGCATCGAGCAGGGATCATCACCCCTGCACACATTTGTCATTTGGTTCATGCTTCCACTGACTCACTGGCTAGGCTCCCCAGTTTCCTTTACTGGGCATTCCTCATCAATTCTCCAGCTTGAGCCTCCTCTAAATTCCCGGTGTACACTTCCAACATCTGGTACACCAGCTTCCTGGTGCTCCTTCTCAATGTCTCCAACTGGAATTGTAAAAGGCTTTTGAAACTGTCTCCAAAGTTCCCTGCCATCTTCCCCATTTCCCAAAATGGACTAGAGATGGCTCAGTAGTTAAGAGCACTGGCTGTTCTTCTAGAAGACCCAGGTTCGATTCCTAGCACCTATGTGGCAGCTCACAACTGTCCGTAACATCAGTTCCAGGGGATCTGGTGCTCTCTTTTGGCTTCCAAGACTACCAGGCATGCATGTGGCACACAAACATACATGCAGATCAAATACTCATACATATATAATAAAACAAACAAAAAGTCTATAGTCAACCCCAATGTCTGTGTTTCCTCATATACTAATCTAATTCTTCAAACACCAAACTGGCTCTACCTGCAATATATGCAAGTCCTAGTATCTTTCATTCCTTCATGGCTAGTCTAAGCCACCATCCCCATTTACTGAAATTTCTACAATAATCTCATAGCTGATCTCTATGCCTGCCCCACTTCGATTCAATAACCGGAGTGATCTATTTAGCACACAGTCAGAGCCTGGCATTTCTTTGCACAAATGCCTTAAATGGCTTCCGTGTCAGATCAAAGTCAAGGTTCTTATAATGAACTGCACCAGCCCTTCATAATCCAGCTGTCGCTGGCTGCCTAACCTCCTCTCCATTCTGCTCCTGCACCCTCAGCTCTAAGTGCACTGCCTTCCTTGCTGACCTAGGAGCACACGAGAACACTTCAGCCACAGTGCCCCTCATCCCCTGCCAGGCTGGCTCTCTCACCCCCACCAGCACACTGCTCAAGGGCCACACAGGTGGTTCATTTGTAAAGTAAATGCTTCAGAATCGCACACTATTTCACTCTTTCTTTTCTGTTTGCTTTGTGAGACAATGTCTTTCTTTATGTAGCCCAAGTTGGTCTGGAACTCAGTCTTCCTGCCTCTGCCTCCCAAACCATAAAGATTATACTGTATTTATCTATTTGAATACTATGTTTATATTTAGGGGCCTATCTTTAAGTCCCTGAAGGCAGATGTTCCAAAAACCAGTATATCCAAAATATTTCATGTCTAGAACCTTTCCGGGTAAGAACACTTGGCCAGTGTCACTGCCCTCGCCACACCCTGCCTTGCTTTCACCTATTACAGGTGTGTGGTGCTCTGGTTGTGCCTTATCTGTCTCCCAGGTAATGACTAAGCTTTACTGGGAGAGGATCTTTACTACTCGCTGTCTCTAGGTGCTTAAAATGCCGCCTAGCATACATATTGCTGGTGACCTGGTAGAATAAAACACCAATTAGAGGGAAATATAATGACAGGGATTTCAATATGCATGTAACAACCTAATTTTGGAGGACTCCAGGAGTTGGAGTAAAACTTGGAGGAAGAGTATTGGCTGATTTGCATGTATGTGCAGGCAGGCATGTGTGTGCCTTGGCTCATGAGTTTCTGGGTATTCTACTGTCTCTACCTTCAATCTCCCCATAGAAGTACTTAGAGTATAGATGTGCTATACAATTTTTATGTAAGTTCTGGAGATTTAAACTCAGGTCGTCATATTGTGTGGCAAGCACGTTTACACACTGAGCCACCACCCCAGATCCCTGACCTGTGTCTTACAAGATGAGGAGTAAGCAGGGTTAGGGGCTAAGACAGTGTGTGCAGAGCAGCCTGCAGAAGGCACGCAGCTGAGAAAGCGTCCTCTTGGTCAGGAGGAGCACTGGGGTGGAGGAGGGTCATGAAAACATCAGTGGCGTTAGAATATAAAGTTGGGGGCTGGGAAAGTCAAGAGATGGGTCTAGAGAAGCACAGAGTGATGAACAGGCCACTTGGAAGAACCTGGGTTTTCTCTTAAAGGCAAAGAGAAGCCACTGGAGGTTTTTGTAGTAGAAAGTCACATGGTCAAAGATGTACTTTAAATGTGTTATTTTGGCAGTGCTGCTGCTGCTTCTTTCCTCCTTTTTGGTTTTTTGAGACAGGGTCTCTCTGTGCAACCCTGGCTGTCCTGGAACTCACTTGTTTTTGTTTTTTATTTGGGGGGGAAGGGAGTGAGACAGGGTTTCTCTGTGTAGCCCCAGTTGTCCTGGAACTCGCTCTGTAGACCAGGCAGGCCTCAAACTCACAGAGATTCACCTGCCTCTGCCTCCTGAGTGCTGGGATTAAAGGTGTGCACCACCACGCCTGGCATCAGTAGTGTATCTACAGAATTTAAGGAAGATAATTTAAAAGACAGATTCTATCATCAAACGAGATCCAAACAAACCAATGAGGGTCTTCACCAGAGGTGGAGACAAAGAGGAGAGTCCTAGTCACTTAGGGACTGAAGGGCATGAAGGAAGAGAGAAACAACACCCCAGGTCCCCAGTGTGGTAAGCAGGGCGCTGGCGGGAGGGTCCAGATGACACTGGAGGAGACAGGTAGTGAGGGTATAGCTCAGGTTTGGGTTTGTGGATTCTACAGTGACGATAAAATTATAGCATCTCCAGAAAACAAGGGAAGGGTAGAAAAAAACTCTGATTATACGAAGAGACAGAAAGAGTAGCTGTCTTTCTCTTTTTACCCAGCACTAGTTTTATTTTTCCTGATATCTGAAACAGACACATAAAAGCAGAAGCAAACATTTGGAGTCCAGGCTCCATGGTGCATGCGAAGAGCTGATAATGTACTACCATCCTCACAATAAGCTGAATGATGGAAACCTGGATTAGAGAAGAGACCACTGTCTCCCTAAGGTGGGTGCCAGGCAGACACAGAAAATCACCAGGAACAGAGACCAATACAAAAGCCTCCCTCCAACAAGCACGGGTCAGGAAAACCTAACCCTGACTGATAATGAGCGATGGAGGCCGAGAACCCAGGGCACCAGGCACCCAGTCACAGGGCACCCTGAGCACTTTCCTGAGCTCTCCTTCCTGGAGCTCCACCAGAACCCTCAGGGTGATTTAGACCCACCTGTAACACCAGTCCCAGAGGCATGATGCCCTCTCCTGGCCTCCACAGGCATCAGGTTAAAAAAAAAAAAAGGTACAAAGTCGTTTCCAAAAAATTGTAGAGTTTGTTTCCACTTCTAGCCACCCACACCTCATCCGTGCCATAGTGGCTGGCATTTGTTAATTCATAAAATTGTTCCAGTTTCTTCAGAGAGGACCACCATGAGCATTTAGCCCTACCATTTGGGTACATGGCTGTCTGTGGTGTTTCATGCCTGCAACCAAGTGATGAGAAGGCAGGGAATCACCCAAGTCTATACCAACTGTTAGGCCAGTCAGAGCTGCACAAAAGCCAAAGAGGAAAAAAGTCCTGAGTGTTTCTAAATGCATGAACAGTCCCCAGGGCTGAGTGACTGAAGTGGCAGCAGCAGCATGAACAGCATGGGAATTTGTATTGATCTCATGGTACTTGTAGCTAAAGAGAAAAAAAAAAAGCTGCAGAAATTAAAAAAAAATTAAACATTGCCTATGGGATCTTATGGCCAAACTATTTAATATTTTCATTAATAATAATAATGTAATAAGCTGGGCAGAGTAAAGACAAATCAAATCAAGTTACAGATATCTTTTAAAAAGAGTAAGAAATTTTTATTTATATTCATGCTAACTGTATGGGTATTTTGCCTGCATGTATGTAAGTACATCACATGCCTGCAGTGCCCATTCCTCTGGAACTGAAGTTATGGACAGTTGTGAGCCACCATGTGGGTAATGGGAATTGAACCCAGTCCTTTGGAAGAGCAGCCAGTGCTTTACTTAATGAGTATACAGATACTAGCAATGTCATAAAGCTGAACAATAAAGGAGAATGAAGGTAGTTATGTCCAAGAACAGTCAAGGACAGGCAAAGGCTACTCAATGAATATATAAGCTGACAATATTAAAAGTAAAAAAAAAACACTAAAACTAACAGGAATGCTAATTTCAGACTAGACCTTTGGCAAAAAAAAAAAGCACACTGAGGCGGTATAAAGTCATCTTTCTATCACTACAGACACAGAAATGCTGGATAAAACCCACACAAATTCTTTTAAAATACATAGTCAAGTTAAAAAAAATTCCCCAGGCACCTGAAAATGAAAGAGACATCAAAATCAAAGCTAGAATAGTAAGTGGGAGTTGAGACCAGTGGCCCCGTGGGGGATTCAAGCTCATGCACAGGCCCTGGACTTGAAGGGCGCTGCAGCAACACAGGCAAGAGAGGAGACTGCCAGCAAGCAGAAGACAGGGAGCGAGAACTGAGACCTGGCATGAAGCCCTGGGCTCGGGCCATCCCCCTGCTAAAGCAGTGCTGAGCACCAGGAAGTAGACAGCAGCAGCTAGTCATCCAGACCTGACACAGAACCACACACAGGCACAGTCAGCATTCTGTATCTTACAGGAATCGCAATCTGAGAAA